TGTACTAAAAATAATTTTATAACTGTAATAACCAATAAATAGGGCTAGTTTAAAAGATTATTAATATTAGATAGTTGACATAGCAAAACAAACTTATCTTCACAGACGACGTGAATTAATCATCAACAACAACACACTAATATGGTAGATCCTGCTTTTTTTATTGAAAATTGCAATTAAGACTCTGTCCGCTAGAAAACAACTAATTTCAACATAATCTAAGTACCCGGTCTTGCCCCATCCTTCCATATAAATATCCTAATATGTAATATGGAAGTAGTACAACACAAAATAAATATCTGGGCAGTGCATAATGTGCTCTTTGCCGTGTTCATCTCTATAACCTTGGCTCAAAAAGCATTGCCAAATAAATATCGATGCATTTTTTTTAAAATACTGGACTTTCAGTTTTGATCCTCCCCCTAAACCTCGAGAGAAAAATATTTTTAATGAAAAATGAAAAATAAGCGCTTAATAGTTTAATATAAGAAACGTTTCCTGAAAATTTTAACAAAATCAAAAATATCTCCTCTTTAAGCCTTCCTAATTGGCCAATTTCTTAATGACTTTTAACCTGTAAGTTAAGAATACAATCTGATCATGCTTTCTACTTGTAAGACTGTATAATATAAGAGAACTAAAGAAAAAAAAAAGAAACATTGGTATAGTTTTTTTGGAGTTGTATTTTTTACGAAATGGGACATTTATTTTAAAGGCTTATTGCTTTCAGATATTTATTTTAGCAATAAAGTTATATAGGTATTTCGATTTCCGACGACCATAAAGGAACATGGAAGCACTGTCACGTTCGCCATACCTAGTTGACTACAAAAACACGATCACCATGGAAGAAAAAATCGACTGAATTGTCTCTACTATTAGAGGTTATTTTCCCTAGTGCTCCAACTTTTAGGAAGATCTTGTTAAACGGTTCGAAAAGTTAAAGAAATGCTTGACTTCTTATTTTAAGTTGCTTTTTTCTTGCTTTCTGAAGTTTCTTTTTTCTTCTTCTTTTCACTAAATCGATTTATACGTGAGAGGTAAGCTACGTTGTTTAGAATAGTAATGATTTTTGGTTAAACTGAATGACATTCTGTTATTTTGTCGCTGATTAGGTTTTGTGCTAACGAAGTTTATTTTTATGAAAAAACGATTGAAAGAACTTGTTCGGAGTCAGGAGATTCCATCAAGTCATTGCAACAAACGATTTTTTTTAAAGTAAATTTAATTCATCCAGTATCGTTTATAAAAACGATTTTTTTAGAAGTAAATTTAATTCATCCAGTATCGTTTATAAAAACGATTGTTTTAAAAGTAAATTTAATTCATCCAGTATCGTTTATAAAAACGATTTTTTTAAAAGTAAATTTATTTCATCCAGTATCGTGTATAAAAACGATTTTTTTAAAAGTAAATTTAATTCATCCAGTATCGTTTATAAAAACGATTTTCTTTCAAAACTTAGTTTGTGTACTTTAAGAAGAATTGGCTTTATCAATCCAGGCCGTAAGCATTTAGAAGACTCGTCGCAAATACGGTAATCGATGCGAAAGTACGAGATCCCCAATAAACAACGGCACAAGTAGTCGATGACCTGGCTAAGATCACGAATGGAACACAGCCATAACCAATCGGTTGAATAGTTCCTGAGAAATCTAATTTTAAATTGACGACTTATTTAAAAATTCGATTTCTCTGGAACTATTCAACGATTTCGCTCAAATTCTGCATTTTGAATATTTTGCATTTGCATACAGTAAAATTACATACTTCAAAACTGATGTAAAAAATTGTATACCTTACAATTCAAAATTTTTTCGACTATTATTTAATAAAATAATAAAAAAGAATAAATATTATTTAATTCTTTTTGTTTGCTTATAATTATCTTTGGATAAACGAATTTTATAATTGTGTACAAAAATTTTTCAATTCGCTTAAAAATTTCTCGAGTTAAGGCGCGCAAAAAGTAAAATTAGTATTAAGGGATCCAAAATTCGGACCGCTGTCCTGGTCAAACAATTGGAACCATATTTCTCAGATTGCTGCTAACCCCTATATTTTGGGGGTCAGAAATCCGAATCCGTCGAAGAAAAAAAAAAGTCATGTATATTCAGAGAAAGTACGTTTTTGTGCCTGATTTTGTAGCTTAAAATATCGTCTGCACTAATAAATAAGCATATTTGAGGTTACCCCTTCGTATCATTAAGAATCCTAAGACGTGAAGATTCGATCATTATATCAAAAGTTATTAAGAGGGATTCTATTTTTTTTTTTTTACGTACTGCACTGTACACTGCACTGTGCACTTTACAGCAAAATAAAATTTCAAAAACTATATTTTTCAAATCAATTAAAAAGGAGAAAATAAAAAAATAAATAAATTTATTTTTCTCACACTTTAAACAAAAAATACAGAAAAAAACACTTTCAAAAGAACCTGAGGAAATTTCCAGTGATAGAAACTTTTCAGCTAGCTCAATGCTTAGAGCGTAATAAGACAGGCAGCTGGAGTCCCGCAGTGGACTGATCGTTAAGACACGGTTCCCACCAGATCACCGAAGTCTAGCATCACTGGCTACGGTCAGTGTGCGGGTGGGTGACCACTTGGATCAGCCTGCGNGGGGACCGGGGGTGTGCTGTATTGGTCCTCGTTAAACTGTACTACCGTAAAGCGCTCGACTTCGCGCAGGTCGTCGGGCTACCGAGGCGGGGGTGCCACCCCCTCCGCAGAGGATCAAAATTGTGGTGGCATGTCTTCGGATCATCATCCGGGATGTTTCCCAGACCGTCGCCAATAGCCCATTGTGTAGCTCTAGTGCGACGTAAATTAACAACAACAGCGACAAGCAGCTGGAACCGACACTGTAAGGAAATCTGGTATCGAGTCGGTATCGGCAATATAACCCATTTCTATCAGCACAATAATATTGCATGACCCTTTTCAGTTTTATCGAGACATTTAATTTTTTTCGATAGCGGCCCGTTTCAAAAACGATGCCAAAACAAAAAAAAATTTTATAAAAAAAATTATGATAATTGAAATTTCAATAAGCCTTTTAATTGAGTTTTGAACAAATATAGAATCGGGTAAATATGGGATGATTTAAAAAAATAATTCCATTTTGAGGCAGACAATTTAGTAATTCTAATCTATTAATTTGATTGAATTCAAATAAATTAGTTCAAATAATTTGGTTATAATAAGTTTTGATTTTAATTAATCCGTTGACCCATTTTTACTTTGAATTAAATAAGTGATTTTAATTTGATTGAATTATGTCCATTCATTTTGTCACTCGATCGCTGATTCCAGTTTGTCTAATTGAATTGACTAATTTTAACGAGCTAATTCGTAATAAATATAAGGTTTATGGATTACAATCGAAAGAATTTATTAATGAAAAAGTTTTTTTATTTGCGTTAGTTCAAATGAAATCCGATGCCACATTTTCGCAATCGAATGAAAACTTTAATGTAGTCCAAACCAACAATTTAAGTTCGAATCAGATATTTAATTCTAATTTCTAATTTGGATCAGATATTTAATTCTAATTTCTAATTTGGATCAGATATTTAATTCTAATTTCTACCAGATATTTAATTCGGATCAGATATTTAATTCTACTTTCTAATTCGAATCAGATATTTAATTCCAATTTCTAATTCGGATCAGATATTTAATTCTAATTTCTAATTCGGATTAGATATTTAATTCTAATTTCTAATTCGGATCAGATATTTAATTCCAATTTCTAATTCGGATCAGATATTTAATCTGATGATTCAAATATAAGGTTTACAAATTTGAATAATTGAAATGAATTGAAACGTCTGGATGAAATCATTTCGGTATTTATGATGATTCGTTTTGCCGAACTGTTTAATGTAATAATTGCAATAAACTGTATAAACTCTTGATGAGCAGTCACAGAAGAAAATTTTTTTTCCGCAAGAGGAGTCTTAACGGATATTTTCACATCACTGATTTCAAATCTGCAATCGGCTTCTCTCTCTAAGCAACTATTTTTTAATGAAATTTTTAGTTCATTTTTTTTGTCGAAGTGTACAAATTTAAAAACGTTATATATAACGGGGGGAACTCATAAATATCGTAACAAACTTCGAGGGGAGTTCGGCCACATTACCAGGGTTAAAATTGCATGGGAGCGCATACCTGAAGATGCCGCCGTACGCCGCTTGTGGCACTTTCCTATTATGAACTGTTTCCTCGTGTGCTTCTGAATAAGTTATAATAAGGAAGCACTCCTAGGCGCATACGATGACATTTCCGGGCATGGGTTTTTATGCAAGTTTAATCCTGATGATGTACCCTCTAACATCCCTATAAGTTTATCGCAACATTTAAGCAAACGTCAGTTATATATAACGTTTTTAAACTTGAACATTTAAGCAAAACATTGACTAAAAATGTAAATTTTCTTAAAAATGTGTTGCTTTAGGAGCAAAAATTATTTCAGATCTGAAATTCCCATATCCGAATTAGGTAATGTAGTATATACTAAGTACTGTAGTATATACTATTCAAAATAATTATTAAAGCAATTATAAACTATACTTCCAGTGGAAAAATGCGCTATTCAGCTGAAAATCCAAAAGGAATTGAAACAAAATAAACAATGAAGAAATGAAAATTATGAAAAAATACGACAACCGAAGCTAACGTCGTCAGAGGGAACCAGCTCCGGAAGACATAAATGCAAAACCTTTTCTATCGAGAGAGCACGACAATCTCTAGATAGAAAAGGTTTTGCATTTATGGCTTCCGGAGCTGGTACCACCTGAAGACGTCAGCTTCGGTTGTCGTATTTTTTCATAATTTTCAATTTTCATTGTTTCTTTCGTAATGTAGTATATGTACGAGTACAAATGCAACTGAAAATTTGTTCCTCAGTGTAATTTGTTTTTATGAATTATCGTTAGTACGCATTTGGCTTTGTTAGTGCTTCGAAAAATTGTTCTTTTTTTATGATCCTTAGTGTCGGGAACTTGCTTGCCTCTTCATGGAAAGGAGTTCTATCAGCCGTGCCAAAAAGATGACGATTGTGGATTCGGTCTTGTGTGCGCTGACTCTGGGAACTTCTCACCATCGAAGACTTGCCAGTTGGATGGTAAATCTATACTCAAGAAGAAAGGTTTCAGTAAGTCTAGTTTAACATTTTTCTTTTTGATAAGTTGTAACGTATTTTATCATATATAAATGGCCTTAGTTTGTCATATTTTAATTAATTCATTTGTGATATCAAAATACATCCCTGTGATTTTAATAAAATGAATCAAGTCGTATTCAAACTAGATTACGGTACGTAATATACTTTAAAATTTGTTCTTGATAATTAGGGTAGTAATGATTAATGTCGAGAAAAATATATTTAAATTGCTTAATACAGCACAAGTTACATAAAAAAAGTCATTAATGACTAGTAATTGTTGAATTTTTAAATTAATCTTCATCTTAGTCACTTTGTACTGAGTTTTCTCAGTTTGTCCAATCCACAAAGATGCGTCTATTCTATAAAGTTAGAATCTTCGGGAAAAAGATGAATGACACGCTCTTCGTAAAATCGTAACTTACCAGGGGAACAAATTTTATGTAAATAATAGATTTCTAAACTGATGTTAGTTTTGCCCCTAATACTACAAATTTTTTCAAATGACATTTTTTAGTCTATTTTTGTCGAAATGCACAAGTTCAAAAAAGTTTTATGTAATAGAGGATTGCTCAAATGTTGCGACAAACTTCTAGGGGAGTTAGTGCACATCATCTCATCAGGATTAAAATTGCATAGCAATCAGTGCAAAGATATGTTTCCCCGTAAGCGACTAGAGGCTCTTTTCTAGTATGACCTGTTCAGAAACATACAAGTGTTCAAAATAGAAAAGAAATAGAAAAGCGCTTTAGCAGCGTATGACACATTTTTCCCATGCAATTTTCATCCTCATGACGTGCCCAATGTTGAGACAAACATCCCCTAAATGTTTGTCACAAATATATATAATATATATATATATAATATAATATATGAAATAACAGGTAGTTGAAAAGACAACCTCATCCTTCCTTTCCTTCTACGCCATTAGGCGATTTTTCTTTTTTTTTTCCCCGGTGTGTGATGAGATGGAGATTTCCGACGCCACAGCTAGCCTCCGTTAAGCTTAGTTCCTAAGGGATAGAAATGCTTAAGATTCCTCCACGAATCCAATCCTGCTTGGCTTGAAATAACAGGGCTACATCCCNGTTACACTCAATTTGCGCTTTTGTTTTCATATTTTGTAATCTGGCAATCTTGTTGCGAAAATATTTTTAAATCATTCTTGAAAAATTTCCCGTTCATGTAAGTACATCTGATTTTGCTACTCGCTTTGTAGTTTTTGTTTTGTTTTATACTGTTTGTTTTATATGTTTTCTTTCTATTTTATCTCATTTTCTGCCTTTACGTGTTATTTTTACTTAATGTGTTCTATTTTATTTGTTGTAATTTTTGTAAAAAAAATTTTTTGAGTGCTCCTCACACTATTGTATTAATATATTTTGCTTTGGCTATATTGATACAATATCAGAAAGCACTCTTTTTTGCGGATATAATCGTGTGGGCTGATGAAAAGATTATATCTTTTATTTTCCGGTTTTTTTTAAAAATTTCATCCTTTTTTTTTTAAATCATTTGTTTGTTATTTTTTCATTATTATTTCTCCCCCCCCTTTTTTTTTTTGCATATGTCTATAATTTTCCTTTGTTTTATCTTCATTTTGAACTTATATATACATATATGTAGATAGATAGATGTTAAACCTGCACATTTTGACAAAAAATGGATTAAAAAAGTCATTTAAGGAAAAACAACGTATCTTGGAGAGAGAAACTGATTACGTATTTGAAATCAGTGATACAATTGTATATAAAATGTGTTAAAAAATTTTCGTGCAACAGGAAACAAAAAAATGTTCCCCAGAGAAATTTATGAATCGGTACTCGGTGCTAATTAACAAAACTATGTCATGCGCAAAGCTGACAGGCATGTGCAAAAGCATTGAAAAAAATTAAATTTTTTTATTATTAGTTGCATTTTTTTAGAAACTTTAAATTGTTAGATTAAGAAAAATAGGTTTTTCGAAATTATTTTAACTCATCGAAAGATGTATCAGTTAAAATTCAGTATCACTATAGGTTTCAAAAATGATTCTAATGATCGCAGTCAACGCAAGGCAGTTAAGACTTATAGCAGAACAAGAGAGCACGATCAAGTAATTTTCCCGAGAAGTCTGCATCTTAATCAAATTTTAAAAGTGCGTCGCAGGTGGCCAAAATTTAAACACAACTTATGGCTAGCATCTTGCAAAATAATTTACAAGATATTCCAGAATCACTGCTTTTAGATATATCTTTTTTGTCATAAATACGTCATTAAAACATATACAATAGAGGTTCACAAACTGATATTTAAGTGGAAAGAAAAATAATCAAAAATTAACGAATGTTTATTGAAGTGAGTGAAGGTGGAATTAAAAACATAATATCAAAACCTGTATGATTGTGAACTGACGCTGATAGACGTTTCTAAAGTTAAAATTATGTAATCGTCATTCATTCAGCAATCAAACTGTTTTTGATACTTTTAATCCCACTATCAATGATATTCATTTCGATAATAATTCGTCAGATTTTGACAACATATTTTATTTTAGTTTCTTACACGAATGCAAAGTTGTGACCCTTAATGAGTAAACTCTTATGATTTCATTTTTGATAAAGAGATGAAAAATGATAATAAACGGCGGTAATTACGAAACACCGGTATATTAAAATGATAAATACAAAATTCATTTGAATGCCTGTCCTTTACGATTCCATATAAGATCTAAAGGTCATAAATTTCATTATATATAAATTAACTAAATTTAACTGCTTACATTTTCTTAAAATTTCAACGGTAGTTTTTAAGCCAAAACAATTTTACTTCTCCGGAAAAAAGTTTTTTTTTTCAATCTATTATTTTTTGCTTTCATAGAAACGAATTAGGTTTCAAAAACAAAAGGTTAAAGTCAGGATCTTGCATCTGGAAAGAATGGAACTCATAATGATACAAATCTTTTAAAATTGGAAAAGTAATTGCTTTTTGGGATTAGAAAACTTTCAATTTAGAGTCATTCTTTTCCAATAACCATTAGCTTTAAAACATAATCACAATACAATTACGTCGTACAGAAACCAAACGACGAAATGATAAAAATAAAATTTAAGAATTGAATGAAGTTCTTTAGTTTTATAGGTTTAGGGGTACCTAATTTTAATAAGGAAATGTTTTATTCTAATTATTTTCGAAATGTATTTTAATGACTAAGTGCATTAGTATATTTTTTCTTTGTTTTTCTAAAAAAAAAAAAAAAGTACGTAATTTTTTAATTCATGTTTTATTTGTTTCTGAATTCTTTTCGAAATTCAAATAAAAGTTTCTAAAATACTTTGATGATCTTCATTCTTAACCTTGTATACAAAAAAAAAAAAAAAAAAAATCAAAAATTTTTTTAAAAAATCTGGCATTCTTGTGGGTTATACTTCTGTAAAGCGAGATGCCTAATTATGAGATTTAAATGTATTTTAAACATATAATTTTACGAAAAAGTTTAACTATTTTAAAATTATGTAATTATCTACATTTTATTGATTATTTACGCCAGACTGTGTAATTCACACGTTTGGAGTGGCATCTAGTCTCGTTTTTAATTTGATTTTAATGCATGCATGAGCTGGAAATGAATGAGCTGAAATAGGGTTTCCTTTAAAATTGAAACAGAAAAGGAAGAACATAACCGATAAGAATGGTTATCATAGAAACATGAAACATATTTCTTCATTGCTGAATTTGGTTATTTTCTTTCGTTGCGAAATACAGTTCACGGGTCTGGAATGGAATATAGTCTAGGTTTTAATATGATTTTATTGCATGCATGAACTGAAAATGAATGAGCTGAAATTTGTTTTCCATTAAAATAAAAACTGGAAAGGAAGAAAACAACCGTTAAGAATGGTTCCCAGAAAAACATGAAAGATACTTCTTCATTGCTGAATTTGGTTATTTTCCTTCGATGCGAAATACAATTCACACGTCTGGAACGGCATTTAATCTAGTTTTTAATTTGATTTTAATGCATGCATGAACTGAAAATAAATGCTCTGAAATAGGGTTTCCATTAAAATTAAAACAGGAACGGAAGAACATAACCATTAAGCATGGTTATCAGAGAAGCATGAAACATACTTCTTCATTTCCGACTTTGGTTATTTTCATTCGATGAGAAATATAATTCACGAGTCTGGCATGGAATCTAGTCTAGTTTTTAATTATATTTTAATGCATGTATGTACTGAAAGTAAATTAGCTGAAATAGGGTTTCCATTAAAATTAAAACTGGAAAGGAAGAACTTCCAGTCAAGAATGGTTCCGTTAAGAACATTCTTAACAACTGTTAAGAATGGTTCTCAGAGAAACATGAAACATACTTCTTCATTGCTGAATTTGGTTACTTTTATTCGATGCGAAATACAATTCACACGTCTGGAACGGCATTTAATCTAGATTTTATTTTAATTTAGTGCATGCATGAACTGAAAATAAATGAGTTGAAATAGGGTTTCCATTAAAATTAAAACAGGAAAGGAAGAACATACATAACTATTAAGCATGGTTATCAGAGAAACATACTTCTTCATTGTTGAATTTGGTTACTTTTTTCGAAGCGAAATACTAATGGAATTTTCCATAAATTCATATCCTTTTCCTAATTCATTCATTAGATTGTTATTAGAAAAAAGAACTATGTTTTGAAATTTCTTTCATCACGAGAATATCAATTAAATAGTTTCATGAAAATAACGGAAATATTAAATAACTAATGGGTTATTAAGTGAATACAGATTTAATTACAGGTTTCGAAAATCATAACTGGTAAAAAAATAAATTCCTAACTCTCGGAACTCTTGTGACCCCTTCTACGGAACCTTAGGATTCAGCGGAACCCCATTTGGGAACAGCTGGTGTACATAGAGTCACGATAACTATTTCTGTGTCTATTTAAAAAAAATTCAAAATGCAATTGCTTTTTTTATTAATTCAATGCTGAAAAAAATTTTTAACTTTAAGACCATTACTTACAATCTGGAATTTTTCAAATTCATTTTGCAAAACTAAGTTACTATAAATCACACATACGTCCATCTAATAATTGGATTTAGGAAAAGAATTCTTTTTCGTAAAATCAAAACTGAAAGCAAAATCTCTTTTATTATACCTCCTCGTAGAATTTAAGCAACTTTTACGAGTTGTACGTGATAAAAGTAAATAACTCTATAATAGAAAATAAAGCACTTTAAGTCCGAAATAAAGCAATTGAAGAGGAAGTTTTTATTTTTAAAAAACTATTTTGGAGAGGCAATGTCTATATATTGTTATTATATATACAATTCAATTCGAAATTCCTTCGATTGTTTGTCCATACAGTGTTAAAATATAAAATAAAAAAAATTTAAAAATCGAATATAGTGTTTACTATATTTCATAAAATGTCTCAACTAGAGGAAAAAATTTAATTTCTAAAGAAGCAGTTTTTCTGTATCGAATTTTTCATCTCTATACGTTGCAAAATTTTATTATAAAGGAGACAAACTATTACATATTTTTATTTGTTTTGTGATACAACATTAGGGTAACAAACCAGTTTTATTTTATTTTATAACTGGCGTTGAATAGCCAACTCTATTCTGTGTTTATGGCTATCAGTGTTCAACTCCGTAAACTTGTAATTTTGATCCAGATCCAGAAGACAAGGGAACTCCTGGATCAAGTATTGGGGCAAATTAGTCTTCATGGGGAACTTTTTGATTGAATTAACTTGCATTTTCGTGACATGGAGAGGAAAACCACGAAATCCTCCCATGGATAGATTAAAGTTTTCATACGAGTTAAAGTTAATTTTAAATAATTTTTTCAGAAAAATTATGACCATATTAACATTCAAAGTTATCTGATATTAGTTATCTTAGGTTATTTATTAAAAAGGAATAAATTCTATTAAAATAAAATTCATAATAGCATTTACTTTTTAGATGTCTTTTTTTTTAAAATTGATAAATTTTATGTTACATTATTGGTTAGAAAACTCAAACCTTAAATTTTATTAGATATAAACGTGATAGACAATGCTTAAATTTTACATAAACCTGCTTGGAGAGGTCAAAACTTTTCTTCATTTTAGAAATGAACCCTGTTGTGCTTACTGTATTTAGAGCTTAATAAATGCCTTACATTAATGCAATTTTTTTAATAATTTAGAATTTAATTTTTGGAAAAGGCCGCATATTTTCAAAAGTGGCCACTAATAAAATTACCCCTGGCCGTAAAAAATTTTCTAATTTCGCCCTAAAACATTTGTGTTCTTTTGATGAAATTGGAATGACATAAACGTGGCATTATCTAAGTTATACAACATCTAATATTCTTAAAAAAGCCTTGGTGGTTGATGTAGGCTCCTTGATACAAATTTTTAACTTCAAAAAATCTCAAGAGAAATTAAAAATGCCAAACACGTTATCAAAAAGTAGTCATTTCTGGTTGCCAAAACAGGAGATCACGAAAAAATGGTCTAGGGATGATTTTGGGCCAAACCTATTGCACACAAACAATAACACATTTACCAGACGTGTTGTTTCAAGTATATGATTACATTAAAAAAATTATTTAGATAACGGTTGATTTTCCATTTTAGTCAATGGCATTCTGTCTAAAAAGTTTAATAAAATCAGTTTTTAAACTTTTTACAGCAAAACAATTACAGCAAAAAATAGTTAATAACCTAAATTCTGTCACAATGAATAATGTTATCATACCTCGTACAATTTTCTTTATTAACGAAATACTTTGTCTGAAGCCTACAAAATGAATAATTTCAATTCTGAATTAATTTTTTTTAACGCAATCTTTAGTAAATTCAATAGCTACGCTATAATTTTTTCTAACTAATCAAAATATTAAGTTTGAAGTTAGTTTTAAACAAAAGAAGAAAAAAAAGATATTTTATCACATTTATGCACAAGGTCATAGGAGAACGGAAGATTATTTTTCATACGTAGAAGGATAATTTTTTTCCGTTTTGGAAAAAAAACTTAAAATTTACCTTTTTTTTAAAAAATTATTTAAAAATTGCAGAAAATAAGATTTTTTACTGAAGCTTAATTATTTTCATTGAAGCTTTAGCGCAGTACCATAACTGAAACCTAATATTTTTCCGGCTCATTAACGGAGAAAAGGACAATATGAATTTATGAGCCGATGTGGCTCAGGTGATAGAACTTTCGCCTCCCAATCAGGTAATCCAGGATCGAATCCCAACGTTGGCTGGTTGATACGAATTTTGCTCTCGCATCAACTACAGTGCTGACGTAAAATATCCTCATGGGTTAGAATTCCTTTGCCATTGCGCTAACCGTGGGAGATTTTCGTGGTTTTCCTCTCAGTCGATCTTACTGGTTTCTCTACTTTTCATAACATAACAAAAGCTTAAAATCGTCAATCAATTAATCAAAATCATTTACTTAATGACTAAAATTAATTAATCAGCATAATAAGTTTACCAACAGGAATAAATCCATAGTTAACAGTATGTCGTTTATTAATTTAAGTCATGAAATTACTTTAAAAACAAATAGTTTCTATAAAAATGAATACTTAAAATAAATCAGTAATGAATGATATGCATCAATTGAATCAAAGAACAATTTTTAATTTTAAAGCCATGCATTGTGAATAGAAATGTATATTTCAGAAAGGACAAATTAAAACAAACCCAAGAAAATTCAAGTGACAAGTGCTTAAAATGTATCAAATATTTTATTTTAAATAAAGATTTAGGTAGTATAAAAGAATAATTTGTCATTTTATAAAATTGGTTATCTCGATTACAAGTTATTATACTTGAAAATTTTTTTCTACTTATACACAACGATCAATCAAATTAAAGATTATTATTGTCACTAAATAAATCATTATTACAATATATGCATTACCATATTTGAAAAATGCTTGTATGAACCCTGATTCGGCAAGTAGTATTTTTTAATCACTAGCGAATTTTGATTCTGATTTTGAAAAATGAGATCAAGCCCAGACGATTACAAAATATTTTTGTTTAAATTATTTTGAAATTTTGATTTTAGGTGATGAATGCCTCACTAGCTCAGATTGTGACACCGATAATGGCCTTTGTTGTCAGGTAATGCGCCGTCATCGCATGGCACCAAAGCGGCTATGCTACTACTTTCAAGATCCAGACAGTTGCATTGGAGAGGTAGTGACAAACCTGAAACCATTGAACTACATCCCCAATCCCTTCTTCAAAGCTCGTCTTGGATAAATCCTATTTTTTATCACTTGTATTATCTTGTCATTCTCATAGTTAAGCAAATCAAAGTTAACCTGTAATCTTTCTTCCCCCGAATAGCACACATACAACTGAAAAATGCTGTTTTGGTGTCAAATGAAAAGTGGTAAAAAAAAAGCTCTAAATTAATAGTGTTAAAGAACCGTTTAAATATTATGTAAGAGCACCTGTAGGGTGGTTAAGTAAACACAAAAAATTTTTACTCAAAATTTTATAAAGTAAATTAGAGAGTAAATGCCAAATTACATCTTTTATTTGAATTAAATCTTAAAATTAGATTACTTGATGACCTGTAATCTTAGCTTTGACAGTAAAAGTCAAAGCAAAAACAGGAGAGGATTGTTGTCAATTCTTACGTAAGCGTAAAAGGAGGGTTTGTGATTTGTTAATTTTTGTTGGCAAAGGGGGGAGCAGTATGAGTAACGCTTACGCAAGATAAGCTTAAAAGATAAGATAGCAGTTGAAATCTCCTTACTCTTAATTAACTTTAAATGAAAATAAATTTAACTAAGAAATTCGGATAAAAAATTACTCTATAAAAATATTATTAATTATAAAATATACATTATTAATTGTAAAAATATATTATTACTAGTTATTAAAAATATATATTTGAAAAAAAAATGGAAAAAAGTCTTATTACAATGTTTAAAAATGTTATGAAATTTATTAAAATGTTAATTTCATTCCATGCAAAATTAAATCTTTTATTTGAATTAAATCCTAAAATTCATAAAATTATATTATTACAGTAATAATCAAAGTTAAAGCGAAAAACAAGGGGCAGTGTACTTACCTAAGCAAGGCAGAAGGTTCATAATTCGTTTATTTTTGTTGACAAAATAGGAGAGTTAATTTAAAATGGCAAAAAACATGCTCATGATTTGCTGACAAATTTTCTTTAAACTGTTAAAGTGCACGCACAACGCATAATTTATTTAATCAGATGTCAATTGTTGTTATTCAGGTATATTCTGATACGCTAGAATTATTTTCCTCTTTAATATTAGGATCTGAAAATGATCAATGAAAAACATGAATACTTTCCCTTTTTATGGGGGATATTTGTATACTTTTTCTATTGGCCTTAGAATTTTTAATGGGCTTAATAGAATATACAACATGAAGTACCAGTGCAAAATGAAGAAATAATATTTTGTAATTTCAAATTGTTCAATTCAAACTTTTCAGATATACTATTCATTTAATAGATACAATATATTATTTATTGTACCTAAGTTTTCTTCCCTTTTAAAGTAACTTAGGAATTATTGAGTCTGTAAAGAACAATATCAATTTCAACAAACAGGTTGGGAGTATAGTTCGTTCACCAGGAGTTGGCACTTGGCTCCACCTCCTCGGACGCTGAGTTCATCTCCGCGCTTGAAATTGAGACAACCGTTAATGCGCGCAAAACACAAACAGTGAATTATTTTTCAGTCACTTCACTCTATCATCTATTATACCTTTCGTTTCTTTAGCTAATTAAATATATTTTAAATTTAAAAACTGCTGTTTTCCCAGCAAAATATCTCAAAAAGGACAAAATTTTCACTCAAAAGAGTGAAATATCATCAAATTTATGAAATANCGATTATCAAACCAGTTGCAGAGAATAAAAACATATGCATTTTTAATTCATTATTTAGTTTCGTTGGAACTAGTAAATTTACAAGATTGTGAAGTTTACTAGTTTTTGATGTTTCAAAATTTCCTTTAACATTGAATAGCAGCATTCAAATATTGTATATTCATATATGCATATATATATATATATATATAGCACAATAAAATAAAAACGATAAAAAGAAAAAAACAAAGAAAATTAATAAGTGTTTTTTACTGCGAGTTAGCTGCAAGTATCTAGAATTCATAAAATAAGTTAAAAGCATAAAGAAAACATGGAAATAATTAAGATTAATGAAAAGAAAAGAAGAAAAATTATTAAAATATTTTTCTTAAAAAAATTTACAAAATATATATATGAAAAAGAAGGAAAACAAAATAAAGAAAAGATATAATCTCTTCATCAGCTCACACGATTATATCTGCAAAACAATTATGTCTGCATCTCCTTTTTGCAGATATAATCGTGAGAGCTGATGAAGAGCTCTTCTCTCTCACCAGAATCTCTTCATCATCTCACACGATTATATCTGCATCTCCTTTTTGCAGATATAATCGTGAGAGCTGATGAAGAGCTCTTCTCGCTCACCAGAATCTCTTCATCATCTCACACGATTATATCTGCATCTCCTTTTTGCAGATATAATCGTGTGAGATGAGATATTTTCTTTATTTTGTTTTCCGACTTTTCAATATATATATTTTTTTAAATTTTTTTTTTAATATTTCTTAAAAATATTTTATTTTAATAATTTTTCTGCTTCTCTTTTTAAAAAAATCTTCATTATTTTCCATGTTTTCTCTATATTTTTAACTTATATATACGTATTTACTGTTAGGAGTGTAACGAGACCTGGATCTAGTATATCTTTAGCCTTGAAAATTATTAGAAATATATGAAAAATGTATCATATTATCAAAACAGCATTTTTCAACTTAAAGCAATATTTATTAAAAAGTACTGCTCAAATGAAAAGTACATACATGTATCATTGTCAGTATTTGTGCTCTAATTGTGAAAATGGTTAAGTGTTCTATTTACATTTTCTTTTACTGCTACTTACATATCCTCAACCCAGTTCGGTGTCAAAACTTTCATGAAATTAAAATTTCATACCCTTTATTTGTGATTTCATTCATTACATTTTTTAACATGAAAAACTTCTACTTCTAAATGGATTTAATGTGGCCTAATTTCTTTATATGACTCTTGCTCTTTATTACGTTGCTGGATTCAATAGACAATCTACAAAAGATGTGACTTCGTAATTGTAAAATATTCGTTTCTGATGAGCGATTAATCCTCTTGGGCCAGGTGAAGCTATTGGTCGAAAATGACATCACTGTTTGTGGGAAGGGAGATGGTGGCTATTGGCTGGTGTTTGTATGATTTTGGCGACAAATCTCCCATTTACGTGCTCTTGGAATTTATTTCTTCTTTGTAAATTTTACTTAATATTATGTCGTCTTTGGGGTGAGGGGGATAGGTAAATGTCCTCTTCAGTATTTCAGAAAGTATTTATGTTTAAATTGATTTAAATTCATCAAAGCTAAAACCAAGAAAAATAATGAATGTTTCTGCAAATATAAAATGGTATAGTAATATTACAAATATGTTTTATTTTGTTTAAATATTTTTTCGCAAATCACCTGATTCATAATTAATAATAACAAGAAACATTAATAAATAAAAACAAGAAAACATTAATAGATAAAGCAAGAAACATAAATACCACGTGTAAACAGAGCGCGTTTGAAAACTAAATATAAAATCGGTCACCAAAATACTATGCAATACATAGCATGACCCTTACCCCAGACAGTGATGTCATTTTCGACCAATTAGCTTTTGTATTAACAATCAATAATTCCATTTATCTTTTATAGAAGAGTTCAGTAGAAAAAAATATCTTTTGGGGGCTTTCATGATTTACGTTTTAATAATAACTTAATTATTCATCCATAGCAATTGACTTTTACTTAAGATCAATTTGTTTTAAGTAAAGGTCAAAATTATTGTAGGTTTTCAACTTTCTTTGTAAAAAACGTTATTTTAGTACATACAAATTACTTACATATTTATTTTTTTAATTCTGAACATATTTTCAAACAAAGAAGACAAATTTAATTTAATTTTATGAATAAATTAAATTTTATAGGAACAAGATAGAAACAACAAACATTATTTTTATTCTGTTTTCTTCTTCACATATTTACAAAATTTTATACATAAGTGTATAGCTGCTAGATAAGAAACTTTTTAATCTTCATAAGATTGAAGCCAGTTACAAAAAATTATTAATCACATGATCAAACTCTAAAGGCCAGAAAACAACAATTATACCAGCAGCATTTTCACAACACTATCACAAACATTCAATATATCATTTGTAACAAATCAATGTTACAACACTCATCATAGCTTATATATATATACATAGGCCAATATAAAATTAGGCATTTCTCTGGTGCAAAGACACACAAATAGGTTTGTAAAACTATGTTACACACATAAAAAATCTTAACATAAATTTATTTGGCATTCAATTTCAATGGTAATACTTAATGAAGAAATATAGAAGTTTGTAAAAATTTAAGACAGATAACAATTTTAGAAAGGTAACTATTAGTCATTACAAAAATACAGTTACCAATTTTGATTTTTTCTTCTCCAATAATTGTGGATATGTTTATAAAACTGACACTAAATTATTAAGAAATGCATATAGACTCATTTAATTTTTAGATTCTGAATACTAATACTACAGGGTTGCCACTCAAATCTGGAAAAAATATTCCCTTTGTTTTCCCTGTACATATTATACACAATATATTGTGAGGAGACACAATTACCGTGCTCTTGAGTGAGCTATATTAGGCTAACTATAATAGTTTAAATTGCTGGAAAAACTTAATGGTAATTACAGGGCATCTGCTACATTTTAGATTTTCAAATTCAAGACTTTTCATTACTAATTCCAAGAATTTTTCATGACTTAACAAAGTTACTATTTTCTTCGACAAAAACACAACAATAAATTAAAAAAAGCATTATAATAACATTCATTGAAATGATAGGTATAATCAAAACTGTTATACCCTGCATCTTCATATTTATATATTTTAAATTTAAAAAACAGAAGAAAGAAAGAGTTGAAGCAATAAAATAGTTGAACAAAATACAAAAGCAAAAAAATTTTTTTCTCTACAGAATTACATTCTAAAGATACTTTTCTTGTTCATCGGAAAAGAAAGAAATACTCCTGATTTATCTGTTCTCATTTCGGAATAAAAAAATTCGCCCATGACCGGCTTGCATCAGCTAAAATTTTAAATTGATAAAATAAAAATAATAACAAAAATTCTGAAATCACAGAAGTTTGAAAGATAATTCGTTTCTAGAAATGATATTTTTTCTTTCATGTTTTGAAAGAACACCATAATTTTTAAAGAACACGATTAAAAACATTTTATACTTTAATCAAATATGACTGTGAGTGGGGATTTTGTTACAAATTCAGGTATTCGGAACACTATGAAATTGGGGGTAAATTCCATTTTAAAAATTAGATTTTTGGGAGACCTAAATCCGACTTTTTTTTTAAAAAGTTAAAATCGTGACATTTCATGACAAATTTTGTTCAATACAAAAACTCATGACTTTGCAGGTGCGCGGATACCCTGTAATTACTTTTAAAAGACGAAAATAAGAAATAAAATTCCCTGTATTTTCCCAGTTTGTATGGAAAAACTCAAAATTCCCTGTTATTTTAGGTGATTTTTAAATTCCCTGCTTTTTCCATATTCTCCCTGTAGAGTGGTAAACCTGCATTAATAATGTTTTTTGTACACATGTATTTCAAAAGAGATTAAATAGTTTACATTTTTCAACAATGTTTCAAACAACATTTTAAAATCTAAGAGCCTTAAAACAGCTGATATTTCAATTTATTGATTTTTGAAATTATATATATATTTTTAATACTAGTATTATTATTAAAATTGTTTTATTAAACAGAAATATTTGAATAATTTACACATGGAAATATTTTCATATATCAAATATTCCGATTATCTATGGTAAAAATAAAATTAAAAAAAAAACTTTTACACAAGCAGATATAATCACAATAAATTCTACACATAAATTCATGTAAAAGGGATTATCAAACTATTATTTATGTCTGTGGGGAAAAAATATAAAATTGCTTGAAAAAAAAGAACACCTTGTAATATAAACCAAATTAGAGGAGAAAAAGTCAATGACTTCTAGACTATGCAACAAAAAAGAATTAATCACTTACTTTCGCACTAATTCAATTCCTATTCATATTACCTGGGAAGTACCAAATTTGCTGCATCGACACATTCCTGTGACATTTGACTGCCAATGAGTAACAATAAAGTTAATTTAGTGAGTGTAGTAAACCCTTGTTAAGTATGCATTATTTTGCACTTACACTAACTTATCTTTGCTAAATTCATTATTAATTTCAATATTTTTATATTATTAATTCAAATATTTAATATTATTGTTAAAACTGTTTTATTAAATAGAAGTATTTGAATAATTTATTTATGGAAATATTTTCATGTATCAAATATTCTGATTATCTACAATAAAAAATAAAACTTTAACGCCAACAGATATAATCACAATGAATTCTACGCATGCATACATGTAAATGGGAAAGGGATTATTAAACTTTTCTTTTGTTTCTGAGAAAAAAAAATATAAAATTGCCTGAAAGAAAACACCTTGTAATATAAACCAAATAAGAGCAGAAAAAGTCAACTTCTAGAATATGCAACAAAAAATAATTAATTACTTTCATATTAATTCAATACCTATTCCTATGAGGAAAGTACCAAATTTGCTGCACTGACATATTTCAGTGACGTTTGACTGCCAATGAGTGACAATAAAGTTAATTTAGTGAGTGTAATAAACCTTTATTATGTATTATTTCGCACTTACACTAACTTATCTTTGTTAAATTACTTATTAATTTCAAAAATTTTTTAGCACTTTAAATTATCACTTTTTGAAGTTATATTGATAAGTTAAACTGATTCTTTTTCTCCGCTTTTATGTAAAAAAATTTTCAATTTCTTTTTTTAAAGTAGAGAAGAAAAATAATTTAAATATGTTAAATATTAAAATATATTTCATAATTAAGAGCCATACTAAAAAGAGTAAGAATAAAATTGAATTTTTCAAACATAATATAAATTTCAGTTTCTCTACTTCTTTCAATCAGGAAAATTCAAAACTGCTTCTTAGAGATAATTTAAGATCCACACACTGAACAATTAAACCTAAAACTGTTTCTTTTTTTCTTTTTAAAATATACTTAATATTTTCAATATTTAAAATGCTACAAACCATTAATTTATAGTAAAAAGCTTTTTAAAACTAAAACAATGAAAGATTAATTATGAAAGAACGCTAAAACTTTTGAATGAATACTAACATGCAATAATAATAAATGTCATTTATTAGAAAACTAATGAGGGGTAACTTGATTATTATACTTGTTATAAGAATTACAAAACTTCATCTTGTTTATAATTCAAAGAATAATTTTCATTGACATTTCTTTTTAAAGATTGTTCTACAGAACGAAATTTAAAAAAGATAATTTTATAAAGAAAAAGAATCCATAGTTTTGATTAACTTTTAATATATATTGAAATTTAAAATGTTTTCTAAACACAACACATAATAAAGTTTTTTATAAGCTACATAGTTTATTAACAAAACACATTTATAAACAAAAAGCTATAAAAACATTGAAATATCACACATTTCGAAATGAAAAGTCTGCATTACACATTTTCAGGATTCAACATGTAAAAATGCATTTCAAAGTTAATAACATAAATCATTCAGTTTTATATAAATAATTTCGTTTTTTTTCTACATAACATTGTATAAGTTTACAGCTAGTTCAGACATCGCTTAACTTATGTTTGAAATTCTTTTGTTCTGAATGCCAAAGTGCAATTTTTTGTAAAAAACATTAATAATTTTTAAAGATTTAAAACACTTCACTATTAAAAATATAAGAATACCATTGTTGTAAAACATATTTGCATTCAAAAAAACTATATAAAGATATCTCTTTACTATCACAATCTAAAGTTAGATAACACAATTTTTACTTATGTAATATTTTTCACTGGGTTAAATTTCTGATTATAAGTCACCAGGTTCAATTTCTTCATAAAAGCATAAAACTTTACAAGTCCCAAAAGAGAGACGTAAACATCGTGTTGTAAAAATAAAACCACTTGAAATGAATACTAAGCACCAACATTAAATAAATTCTTTCTAAAAGTCTCAAACAATAACAAGAGACTTGAAAGTTATTTGCTTAGTATGTATCTCCAAACTTGTTTCTTCCTCAGCAAGTATTCTTCAATTGCTCTAGTAAGGCAAAATCAGTGATTTAGAAAATCTAGTTTTATGACCAAGTAGTATACTACATGTTCATGTGATTACTTTACGTTAATGCCCACTGCATGATGCTGCAGTCTCGCCCTCCGAGAGATATTAGTCTTGTATCATCAGGAGTAAAGTCTACATTAGTCACATGACTACTATGGCCGCCATAACTGTGATGAGGTGACTGAAAAATATAAGTAATAAAATGTACTTAAAACTACACACAATTATTATTGTTATATATATACTCAAAACTACATATATACAGTGGAACTCGCTTAAGTTTTTTTAAGGGAGTGGAAAGAAATAACTTATTAAACGGGAAAACTTCATAAACAGTGAAGTATAAAAACACTCAAATTAAAAACTAAAAATTTTTTTAACTTGTATAACTTATATTACAGAATCAGCATAATGGAATAAATATTTAATTTTACAATCCATTTAGAAAAAAAATGCTGATAAATAAAAACAAAGTTGTCTACCTTCTTTTTTATTTTAGCCAATGTTATGCTATTTACACAGTGATGCACACATTTTTACAATTATTGATGAGACTTTTGCTTAATCGTATAAAGTAGTTTGTTTTTGCTTTTTCTCACCGACCATTAATTGAAAATTGTCCAACTGCTGTAAATATATGAACATTTCTGGAGCCACATTTGAAATTAAATTTTTGAAAAGTATCCAACGCTTTTCTGGCATCAGAAAGACTAGGAGGTTTGGCAATATCTTCCTCAGTTTCACTCAATTCTTCTGTGTCATTTGAAACATCACAAATATCTTTTAATGTAAGCACATCACAAATATTTTTTAATGTAAGCACATCACAAGGTAAAATTTCGTCGACAACCGATGCATATTCTTCAAACAATAACAATGTTTCTTACTTTTTTACTCAGTTTGTATACCTTATACAATAAAGTACAGTTTGAGGACAAAATTAACAGATGTCGAAACAAGTTTTTAATTGGCTTTATCAGCAGCAGAATATGTACATTTATGGTTTTACCAGTTACTAGTGTCATCTATTGACACACCTTGTAAGAAAAATTTGATTTTGGTAAGAGAACAACATTTTGGTGGCTGTAGCAGAATTTAGCAAACATTACATTTCTATCTCCTTTCAATTTTCTGTTGATTTTTCAAATTGGCAGTCACTTTAGGACCACCCAAAATAAAATTTGATGTGAAATAAAAATATACATAAGCAGTTTTAAAGTTACACTTGAAAAAAATACCCAAAAAAATTCTACATATTTTATTTTAAAGAGGAAAATTTGGTTTTTTCTTTAATTATAAGTACACTTTCACAGTAATATTTCCACTAATTTGATAGTTTGAAATAACACTAGTTAAATTAAGAATTAAAATATCTTAAAAATAACAACACTTAAAGTTATATAAATAATTTTTAAAAGCTAAAATTACTAGAAACTTTACAAACAAAGTTTAAATAATTTTATGCATTTAATAATAATAATAATAAACAATCATAACTTTGTAAAAATAGATAAATCGAATTTTATGAATGGTTAAAATTTCATACCTTCGGTTGGCATGCTGGGAAACTATAAATATTAACTTTGCCAAAATCATCTCCAGTAGCAATTAATTTCTGGTTATGAGATCGAGAACAAGTATTGACATCAGAACCATCAGCATTTTCAGGCCATATACCTAAACAGAAAAGGCAAAAATATTAACTTAGGTCTAGGAATATAAGAGAATCACTAAAATATGATCAAAAATGACTTTACCATATTACCAGTAACCATAAATTTAATACAAACATATTTGCCAAAATTTAATATTTTGTGCTTAGATATATGTATGTAAATCTGTGTAGACATAAAAGAATCAAAATGAAAAATAGCAAAGGATCCAAATAAGCATACAACTGAAGAAATAAATTTTTTCTAAAAGGGATAGTCAATACATTTGAGTAAGATAATCAATCATTTAGATTGTCAAATAAATTTTCATAATTGAAAGAAAAACAAATTGAAAATATAAGTTTGTGCATGAAATCAGTAACTGATGATTCATTATTTAAAGATAAGACATAAATTAATATTTCATAACAGCTAAAATAGAGATTAACTAACAAGAATTAGGAAGAAAAATGGAAGAGGAATGCATTTTTTTTATTAAAGAAAACTATTACTTAAGAAACATTTCCTTTTAAAGTAACTAAAATAAAAATAATAATTTCAAAAAAAAAGAGGAAAGTTTAACATTTCTAGCTTAACGTATAAACTTTAAAGAATGAATAAAAAATTATACCATGAATTTGTCAACTTATGAGTTCCGCACAAGTATTAAGCATTTCGTAACAGAAAAAGAAACTGCACCCAATAAAAAAAAAGTACTTAGCTTAGTTATGTTTAGTGAAACATGTTTGAAAATACTATAGTAAAATGCTAAGATAAAAAAGGAAATCAGTAATAAATATTTGTATGCATTACCTAACACACTAAAACCAATGGTACAAGTTTGAGTTTGCCATTTGAGATCTCTTGCAATCGACATATTGCTAACTTGTCTACAAACACCAGCATTCCCTGTAAAAAGATTAAAAAATGTTATTAAAAAAATTAGATTTAAATTAACATTTATGAGTAAACAATTTCACAGACCAATTATTTGTCCAATGAGAGAAAGAGAAAAATCTACATAAATTGTCACTATTTTAGAAAAAAAAAATTTTATTTATTTAAATTTGATCAAAACAGTCATATTCTATTCTTTTGACTGAACTTCAAAAAATAATAATAAATAAATAAAAATTCATTATGGTATAAAGATAACGACAAGATTTAACAGCACATACCGTTTTAATAAAAATTATTAAAAAAATTACAACTTTGTAAAAGTTGATAAGTAAGGATGTATTTTGTGTAATTATTTAATTTTTATTTTTTGAAAACCATCCAATTTTATAATTTTAGAGTGACAATAAATAAACACACATCATTACTGTCACATATCTTACATCAGGGTGTTTCTTAATTCAACCTAATTAACCATTATTTTAACAAGAAACCATGTTGTATCAGTGCCATTACAAAGACGAGCAATTATTATTGTACAGTTAAATGACATAAATAGAATGAAATAATATTTACTATTAACCTGTCAATTTCAGTTCACGTTAGCATCATTTTTATTTTTTCACACTATAACTGTTTCTGTTTGGGAGGCAAGGAACATAAAGTAGGGCATCAATTGTATATGTTATATTAATGACACAAGTATATGCTTATGGTGTTATCTTATTTAGTAACAAGCGTTCTTTCGTTTCCCCCTCTTTTTTTCTTTCTTGGGTATGTGTCCGCAATCTTGCTACTAAAAAAAGGACTTTGAAACATGTAAGTTGTCAGAGACTGCATTTACTGGTCAAGTTTTCAAGATTTTCCCTTTTATGAAGTAGACAAAAAATGTTTGAGAAAAATTTTTTTTAGGCGTAGAAGACTGATTTGCAAGTGAAGTTTATCACTCTCTTCCTTGATTTTGCATAGTGAGGATGTTCAAGAAAAAATGAATAAAATGGACTACTGTTGGGAGACAATGATGCTGTAAATAAAATAATAAATAATAGCTTATTTTCTTCATTTTATCCAGCTTAAGGAGAATTCTTATATTAACTCATATGCTAGATCGAATGTCAGTTCTGGTTCTTTTTCTTTCACTTGGCGATTTTCATTACACCAAGTTGAATACGAGGAAGATACCAGGAAGAAGAAAATCACGTCAGACTTTGAAACCTTAGGTTCCATAGATTATTTCCTAGGTTCCAGCTTATTTTCTTTGTTTTATCCAGCTTAAAGAAAATTCTTATATTTACTCATGTGCTACTTTGAATGATAGTTTTTTTCTTCTTTCTCCTGATATTTATTATTACACCATGTTTAATAAGAGTAGGATACAAAAGTGAAGAAAATTGCACCAGACTTTGAAATCCTAGGTACCATACACTGGATGTTCACAGGAGTTTAAACCTTGTAATGGCTGTTTATATTTTGAAGAAGAGATGTCTACAAGATGAAAAGTTTTTACAAACCATTAAGTTTCAGATGCTGAAAAAATAATTTACATATCTTTACACACATGAGCATAATTACTTTACGTTTCCCTCATGGATGGAAAGTTCAACCACATGGAGTGTTTTAATCTCAACGAATTTAAATCCGCTGTCATGCAAGGTCAAATCAAAGAGATGTTATGGAGGTTTATGATATGCTTAATCCTGATAAAAGGAATAAGCAAGAATTTAATGAACTTATTGTAGCCTTTGACTTTAATTTGTGATTTTTTCCATTTTTGACACTTAGGATATGTGCCATAGTAGAAATCAACTAAAACGTTAAACACTTTTAAATTATTTTTTTCTTTTCAGTTGCATTTTACTTTTCTTAGCATTTAATTTGGTTCAAGTTTTTTCACATGTAGAATTCAAATTTTGCCATTTATTTGGCATCATAAAGAGAATTTGAATTTTGCAGAATTTTTACACAAAAAATTTATTAATTTGCTTAATGTTTGCTTTCACATCTTACTTTTTCATACTTACAATATAAAAGCTCATAATCTCCGGAACTAGTTTGAATGTATGTACTATCTTCTGACCAGTCAAGGTGAGTAATAAAGCTTGAATGACCCTACAAACAGAAATATTATTAAAGCTAGAAATGTCCCAAACAGCTCATGTTGATTTGTTCCCAAAACTTTCAATTTTAATAATTAAATAAATTATTATAATAACTAAAGAATAAAAGTAAATAGTATTAAATAAAATAAATATAATTTGGCGAAAAATTACCATGCAACGACCTATCCTGTTATATTTTTTACATTCATCATCAACTTGATAAACATATATGTAATTGTCGTGTGATCCAACAGCTAAGAAACGGCCATCTGAAAAAGAAAAAAACATTTCAAGTAATTGAAACTACTTTAAAAAGAATTAAAATATTTGAAAGTTTTTCATTAATCCAAAAAATAATATTGAGGGCAGGGATAGCCTGGTTGGTAGGGCACTGCGTTCACGTCCAAGGGATAGTGGGTTCAATCCTCGCCGGCTGAAGACTCCTCGTCTACTAAATGGTGGCTGGTGCATGGTAAATCTGTCAAGTCACAAAGTCCTCCATGTTCCCATAACAAATCAAACCTCTGGGGGTACTGATTCAGGAGTTCCCTTGTCTTCTAGATTGGCTCAAAATTACAAAGCTACAGAGTTGAACATTAGTAGTCTCCATGTTCCCATAACAAATCAAACCTCTGGGGGTACTGATTCAGGAGTTCCCTTGTCTTCTAGATTGGCTCAAAATTACAAGGCTACAGAGTTGAACATTAGTAGTCTTAACCCAAAATTGGGTCGGCTGTTCAACGACGGATATATATATATATCAACAATATTGAAAAAAATAAGTTAATGCTAAAAAGAGGTTTTAAAGCAATTAGATTTTGTATTTATAACAAGTTTGTAACAGTCAAATTATAAATTTCTAAAATTTTTATTTCATATAGTCAAAAAGTAATTAACTACATAGATTAAATTTATTTTGTTAAAAATTCAGAATTTATTATAATAAAGCATTACTTGCATGTAAATAAAAAGGTAGAATCATCTAAATTGGTGTTCAGTTTAGTAGATCATTATAAAACAAAACAAATCACTCATGCATGTAAAATTCAATTGCAGAATATTAATTCCAGGTAAGATTTTAAGATGGTACTGTTGGACATTACGTAGTTATACTTAGTTTGAAAGTTTACTGAAAAGTTTGAGAATGATTTCTCTCTTATTTATTTTATGTATAATAATTAGAATGAATACACACCAGGTGAAAATCTAATGCAGTCTATGACTTCATTTCCATCAGCATGCATGGAATAGACTTGGCGTGTTGTTGCATCTAGCACTGACCACCTGCCAGAGGAGGTTGCAAGAGCAAGAACACTTCCATCAGGTGAGAAACAAGCTGACTGCACTGCCTCCTATATGAAGCATAATTAAAAACTTCATATTAAAGAGTATTATTAATACTTATGGACAACACAGAAAATTAACTATCAATTATCAACTATATGTATCATATAATGAATATACTACAACTCTATGAAAACCCTCTCCAGAGTAATATAACAGATAATGCTCCAAAGTAATATCTAAACCAGTCATGTCAAAGATATGGCCCGCGGGCCACATCTGGCCCCCGGTTCGTATCAATACGGCCCTCGATAGCGATGTATCACAGAAAGAAGAATCGTGTTTTTTAAACTTCACTCGATTCCTCTACGGAAGTTTTAAAATGTGCACACTACATCTATAAATAATTTCAAGGGCAGCGCGCGCCTAGACAAGCGAGAGAGATAGACAGTAACGCCATTTCTTAGCAACAAGCGGAATCTTCGACTGGAATATACTTAGGAGCACAACTACGGATGGCGCTCCTGCCATAGCTGGCAAACATTCGGGAGTTGTAACTAAATTAANAGCCATCACTAAGTTTTTATTCTTTTTAACTCACAATGTATTGGATTAAATAAATTTATAAACTTTTTCAATTAAAATAGTAATTTATCATGTTATTTAGACTCAGTTTTTTTTTTCAAATAAGGTTTTGAATTTTTTTACTTATTTAATTTTTTGAACATAACTTATATAACTAAGAAAAATACTAAAAATTGAAGGAAAAATACATACTCCAATATCTTTGCTCCAAACGACTGAATGAGACATTGTATCCCACATATGAATAAAATGATCATGACCTCCACTAATGAATTGACTTTGGCTAGGATGAACAGCAAGGGCCCATATCTCTTCAGTGTGGCCCTATAAACAAACAAAAATTATATCATAACTTTTAAGAATGAATAAAATATTGTTCCGTGCTTTACTATTTTCAAGAAATTAGCCGATATGTAATACATCTTAAACAAAAAGAAAGATAAAATTCTAAATTTGGTCAATTAGGATTAAAATAAATAAAAATTAAGTTTCACAAGTAGATTTTAAACAAAGTAGTTCTGAGGTGAATTTGATTATAATAGTAAAAAGAAATACATCTCATACTAATACATAAACAAACAAAAATTATATCATAACTTTTAATAATAAATAAAATAATGTTTCGTGTTTTACTATTTCCAAGAAATTAGCCAATATGTAATACATCTTGAACGAAAAGAAAGATAAAATTCTAAATTTGGTTAATAAGGATTAAAATAAATAAAAATTAAGTTTCAAAAGTAGATTTTTAACAAAGTAGTTCTGCGGTGAATTTGATTATTATAGTAAAAAGAAATACATCTCACAAGCATAAAATCTTTTGTAAATTATTTATGCCAAGAAGAAAGAAACTGACAAAAAATAAAAAGTTTAAATATATAGAGTAATACAAAATAATATAGAGTTGAAATAGAGTAAATTAGAATTTAAATTTTATAAATAATTATGCCTACTATTTATAAGACTAAACCTTTATGACTAATAACTAAACAGCTTTGTCTGACCACCTTGTTATCAATTGCAATTAATAAATTAGTATTTTGATTCAAATTTACAACAATATATTAATTTCTAGTGTTACAAGTAAAGTTTCATATGACTTAAAATTTTATAATGGAGTCACTACCCAACTACATTTTTGATTTTAGGAAGTTTAGCTACTATTTACTAATACAAAAAAGTCACTAATATTTCAATGATTTATGAGTATTTTTAATTGAAGAAAATCAGATAAAAGAAAATTTAAACAATTATTTCAAAATTAAAAATATTATCAACAAGACAACAACATCAAAACATTGTTGATTTTAATATTTAAATACAGCAAAAATAAAGGAGGCATATTCATTTAATAACATAATAGGAAGGTATTAATTTTGTACCCAGTGATTTAACTGGAACTAAATAGTCTATTTTCTATTCAATCAAGCAAAATTTATAAATTGATTAAAAATCAATGTAAAACAAATTCTTGTGACTCAATTCGAATTCTGCATTAATTGAAAATTTGCTTGCATTAAATTAAAGAAGTGAACAAACAAAAAACTTTAAACAAAGAGTAACAATGTTTCAAACAATTCAACTTCATTGCATCTTGATTCAATGTGCAAATACCAATTTGAATGCTAATACAGTCAAACCCTGCTATAGTGAACCTTCAAGGGACCGAAATTTCTGTTCACTATAACCGGGAGTACACTATATCCGTTGCGCTAAATAGACTAATAGACAATTTAACTAATGGTTCCCAAACTCCTCCCTTTTATTACACATTGTTCAAATAAAATATTATGTAGTAGCAAAAAATGTGTTATTTTCCATTACTCTTTGTCTTGCGTGCAAAAAAAATTTTTTTTAATCTTTAGCACATAAAAGTAGTCTCATGAAATAATTAGCAAATTCATCGACATTTGTTTAGATACTTCGATTGGTGAACCACTTCAGTAATGCTTCTTCAACATCCTTGCAATCTGCTTTCCTCAACTTTTTTCTGCCATCTAAATTTTTTTCATGAGCAGACATTATTAATTGCCTATTTTTCCATATGTTACAAATTGCAGATTTGGATTGTTTATATTCCCTGCAAATATCAGTTTAAGTGCATCCATTTTCAATTTTTCTGATTATGCCCATTTTATCATCAATGGAGAACGTTTTACGTTTATTGCTCGCCATAGTTAAATTTGAGACATTTGTTTGCAGGATTTTTTAAACTGAACTGAGAGCAAAAAGGATTTGAAATGAGGGCCTTATCAACACATATTAGTGTCCAACCCTTTGACCAATAATGAATAATTGCTCATTCCCTCTGACATAAAATGCATATTGATCTGACTGACACCTTACAGTGCCTGGGTTGGAAACATCTGCTTTGTTTGTTTAGGGATGGGAAAGTGAGATAAGAGCAAACAAGAAAAAATGCTTATCGCTGCATTCCCCTCTATAGATGGTTTTGAAAATCGGTATATGTATTTTTTAAGTAGAAATTTCAAAATTATTACAAAAAAAATCAGTTGAAGACAGAAAAAAGTTCATCATATCCAACTTCCTAACTTTTTTGGTTCACTATATCCACAAAAAATAACATTATCCACTTATAGCAAGGCACGGGACCGAACATTTTGTTCACTATATCCAGGAGTTCACTATAAACAGTGTTCACTATAGCAGGGTTTGACTGTATAACTCATATGCTTTCAGCAATCAGTGATACAAAAGAACAAAATTTTGTAACAGAGTATTTTAAATTAACAGGATTTTCTTGAATTTTGGAGCAGGATAATTTTTAGGCATTGAAATTAACTTATGCATTTTCAAAATATAATCTTTAAAGAATAGGCTAAAATAGAAAAAGAATGAGCTTACTTGAACAATTAACGAAAAATTTAAAGATAGTGTGCCTTGGAGAATGCAGTTCTTGGTAGTACCAACAAGCAACATGCTGCCTTTGCCTTGTGCTAAAGCTCTGACACCACCAGTTTGTTCCGGTAACTAGAATAAAAAGAAAAAGATAAATTAGGAAATGTGACTAAGTCTCAAAGATATTGAAACATAAAAGATAAAAAAAAATTTACTCAAACACTTGCTAAAATACAATTCAAATAAATACAAAAAAATTATTCTGATAAAACAAACTGAATGATTACATTAATATTCTTACCACGCGATTATTAAGATCTAAATCTTCCAAAACAAAGAAGTATTTTTATTTAAGACTTGCAGAAGATCAAACAGTCATTAGATACAACCAGAAACATTTGAAGTATACGTTGGACAAAAAAAAAAAAAAAATTAAACTAGATGGTTGTTTTACCCTTTAACAATTCCTTTTGTTTTTCTTGAATTAGAAATTCAGTAATGCTCAGCAAAATTCAGATATATAGAAATTTCAAATACTTGAGAGCCAAAAATTTTACCTTATTTTCAAGAAAGAAATGCAGCGCAAAATAAAAAATTCCAATCAACACTTTAATTGAAACTGAGTAGCCTTAAAATCTATGATCCATATGGTAGACTAGATGGCTGCTTTACCTTTAAACAATTTCTTTCGTTTTTCTTAAATTATACATTCAGTAATGCTCAGTAAAATTCAGACATATAGAAATTTCGAATATTAAGAGTGCCAAAAATCTCAATTTTACCTTATTCTCAAGAAAGAAATACAGTGCAAAATATAAAAAAATTGCAATCAACATTTAAATAACAACACTAGAAGAAAACTATAATAGCTGACCATAAAAATTATTCAAGTTATCTGTAAACAAATAAAAACTGAAATTGCAAAATGGGAATGAATTTCAGAATAACTGTTGATAAAAATTATTTAAGTTGTTGATAAAGTATCAAATCGAAGGATGTCTATTCTGTCGATAATAAAAACTGAAATTGTAAAATGGGAATGAAGCACGAGAGAGCAACAGTATAAAATCATACCTATTTTTATTATTTAATGCTGAAATTAATGGTGTTACATATTACAATTTTTACTTGGAAAAATGTAGCACTATAATAAAAATGACAAAAAACAAAGATATATCAGAATAACTGCACAAAGAAAGATAATAAAGGTAATGTAGATTACAAATAGATTTAATTCATTTCTGATTGAAAATTAATCCATAATTATGAAAGTTCACCGTACCACAAAGTAGCAGGGAGAACACTTATCAATATAAAATTTGGAAAGAAACAATATACTGATGATGTGGCATAAAGATAAGGTGAAAATAAACTAAAATATTAAAACAGTTAATAAATTAAAATTTTAAAGAATTTCTTCTCCCCTATACTTCCAAAAAGTCCTATACATTTGAGCTTTTTGCTTAATTGAATTCTGGGCAGTCGGGCTTTTAATGTATATCCCATCATTTTAATTTACGTTTTGATTTTATCCATTGCATTTTCAGGCATAGTATCAGCCTTTGATTACTGATATCAATTATTATCTGCCTCCTTTTATTCCATATCAAATAACATATTACAAACTTTTAAGGCTAATGACAACAAAATATAGTTAATTATCAAAACAAAAATACTCAATGTAGGTTTCTATAAGTATAAATATTTGGCTGCATACATTACTGATACTCAGCAAATAAATTAACAATAATCCTAAATTAAGTTTGCATGGAGTACATATAAGATACAGCAATATAATTTAAATTTACCTTAGCTTCTCTACCCGTTCTCGATAAAGCGTGGTCCCATTCAACAATTCTACGATCACGGCCACCACCAGAAAGAAATGTGCCATCTTTCATTGAACAGATTGAAAATACACCACCGTCATGAGCATTATAGATAGTTCTAGTAACTCTATTTGATCCTTAAAAGGAAAAATATTATACATGTTACGATTAATTTTTTTAAAAAAAGAGTTAATAAATACAAAGTAATTCAAGTAAGGCTACACTCAAAAGGAGGAAAATAGAGGCTATAGAAAATAGTAGCCTAAAAGGCACAGAGCTGTGTAATACAGGGTTCCCACTCAATTTCAGGAAGAAAAAATAATTCCTTGACTTTTACAGGTAAATTTCAATGAAATTCCTTATCATATTTTATCTAAGCCATGCAATTTTTCAACAGAAAAGTTTGATTTTTTTTATTTGTAATGTCAAATATTAGATTTTATGAGCAAAAACATGTATTAGAATGAGAATGGAAACATGGGAAAGTTTCACTAAAAAGTGGAGTTTAATAAAAATAATTGTAATAGATGTTAGAATTATTTAACTCAAAAATCAATAACTAATTACTGTTGCTTGCAATTTTAAGATTGGTTATTTTCCAGGTATGATATAGGATTTTTGCAGCTTTTCTGTAAAAAAATTCAACTTTCCCTGACTATTCCCTGATTTTTAGAGTTAAAATAAAATTCCCTGACAATTTCAGGTCTTCCTTGTTTTACCTGACTCGTGAATACCTACCTAGAGCAAATTCCTCGCAAAAAATTTAGCGTTTTTTTTTCATTTAATTAAAAAAATATAGAAAATTTTGTTATACATATATAAAAGATAAATATAAGCTTGAAAATGCTAATTTTTCAACAAAAATAAACACTAATAAAAAAAGTGGAAGTTATAGTTTACTATATTTAGGAAAAAGGATATTCTAAGAATCAAAGTTTAAGTTATAAAGTAAGATTTGTGTTTTAAGGAAGATGAACACAATAAGTTTTTTCCTCAAGCTTATAAAATTTGAGTCCAGATTTGGACACATGATTATTTTTTCCACTTCATTCTCTTTAACTAGAGATCGTTTGAATGCAATATTGTAAGTATTTGAATAATCATATTTTCATATTAAGAGTTAAGTCTACACAATTATGAAGCTTACAAAAAGAATTTTAAAAAAAAAATCGCAATATAAAACTTGTACTTCAGCTTAGAAAGTTGTATTTACAAGTATTTTCATATTCTTCGTAATAATTACTAATGAATGTTCACAACGAAATATAAAAATATTTATCTTAAAAAAAATTATAACATTATACCAGGAATAATGTGCTTGTAGACAATAAAAAACAAAAAGAATATACAAGCCTGTAGATTTAATTGATTTCTCAAAACAATAGTGAGAAACACTAAAATATTTTTTTTTTTAAAATATACAAATTCTTAAAATATTTGTACACTTAAAACATACGCTATTACATTATCTAAATTGAAATAATGAAAAGAATAATTGAAAAATTCCCATTTCTGTTTAACAATAATAACTTTATGTTTAATTTCATTTTTAAGCAATATTTTAAAATCTGACTTTTTAAATGTCATCTTTTTAAGTCAAGAATAAAAATAAAACATACAAAAAGGCATTTTTATTTTAATAATTTTATATTAAGGGATTTTCTGAATGAAATGTATCTTAGTGCTCAATAATAATAACATTTTAGAGGATTTTCAAATAAAATAATAAAAAAAGTGATTAACACATTGGCGATTTTGGTATTTTCATTTTTAATGCCTCCAAATGTTCACACATTTTTACATACAACTGTGATTCAGTCTAATTCCTCACTCCCACTCCCAAATCTGAAAACTGAGGTATGACAGATAACTTTTCTCTTTTTTAATTCTAAATAAGTAGGAATTTAAGTGCATAAAAATCAGAGGTTTTTTCAAAGCACAACACTGTTTATAGGTAGGAAGTAGAGTAACATTTGGAAGGATTAAAAATAAAAATAAAAAGATTTTCCACATGCATAACTGCCCTGGGTTAAAAGTACTTCGAATTAAGATACTATAATGAAAAAGTACCTCTTGACCAGATTAATATATTGCCATTTGAGTCTCCGGTCAAAAGTTCACCGGTTTCTGTAAGGGATATACACAACACATAGCGAGGCTTGTCTTGTTTCTAAAAACAAAATTTAAAGATTATTTCTAAAAATGGAGAAAAAAACATTAATTTCTTTTTAAAAAATCATCATACAAATTTATTTATTTTATTAATAAAAACTTGGTTCATTTAAATAAAAAATATTACTTTCATTTCAAAACATCAGATTGTAAAGTTTGATGGCAAAATAAAAAATATAAATTGTTAGTTTAACGAAATGAATTTTTTTTCTTACTTGAATTAACAAAAAATTGCATAAGTAAAACATAAAATCTACTAATGTATTTTACTTTTTCAGATGAAATTAGGGATATCATCTCATAAAAAATTTTTAGAATGGACATATAACCTACATTGCAGCAGTATTTTTTATAATTTTAATTAAATTACTAATACAAAATTAATTAGTAATTTAAGCAAATAGTAATTTTAGTAATAATAATAATATTTTTGTTTATCACATATTGCAAAAGTATAATTTGACATAAAACATTTATTAAATAATTAAATTTAGAAAAGAAAAGGCTGTAGTAAAACTATAGAAATTATAATTGTTTCTCAAATAATGCTAGCAGTATTTATAGTACAAGATTTTGACAAAAATATTTTCTAGCTTTAAAAATATAGCAGTTGAAATGCCAATTACCAGCAGGAATTATTTAAATTTCTATTACACTTGAGCTTCTGAATATTCATTTAAATAATTTATAAGTCATGAAAGTCAAAATCATTTTAAATCAATTTTGTTAAAACAAAGTAGCGAAAATTCGAAATCAAACACTGAAATATAAATATTGCCATCTATAAAGAAATTATGCCCGAAAAATTTCGGAGTATTCACAGTCATGCTTTAGCTATAGTATAAATCTATATAATTAACTTTCAAGTATACAAATAAATTTGAAAACCTCAATAAAGTTAAATGGACATAATTTGAATGTTTCGTAACAATTTATTTCAATTGCTTTTTGCAGACAATGTGGCTTCATTACATTCAATGTTTTCGGTTTTTGGAAATTTGAAAAACCCACCTGGAAACATAAAAGTTTGATTTTTATGACTCGCTGCACAGCCTGATAGTTTTTCCTGTTGTACAGACATTTTGAAGCCTTCAGCACTTTATTTAAATCTAATTTTAAGTACTTTTAAAGTTCAATTGTCAATAAGAAATAATTTTCTATAGTTTAAATATTTTTTTCAGCAACATGTTATCAAAGACTAAAACTTAAATTTGATTAGCAAAATAAATAAATGGTATATTTACTACATAAAAACAAAAAAAAATGACACAAATGAAAAATGGAATGAAATAGATAATCATTTTTGAAAACTTATAGGAAGAAAAAAAAAATTCAAATTTACTTCAAAAAGGCCCAATTTTTTAGCTAGAGTGCCACCTTCAGTGTCCCAAAAGTAAATATGGTTTTTGCCAATAGTTATAAGAGTATGTCTATCCATTGGGTGGAACTCAGCAGCAAGAACAGTTTCTGATGCACTCTAAAAGAAACAAAGATGAAAATGTAAGATTGAAAACTAAGCTTAGATAATCCTTTGTCCGAGATGGGACACTGGTGTCCCTTATATATANATATATATACACACATGCATGCATATATACATACATAGCATATTAAATAAATACAAAAAACATGTACGAAGAAAATAAAGTAAAACAATAAGTTTTATTTATTGAGCATAAGCTGCAAGCAAATAGAACTCATGAAATAAGTTCGAAATGTAGAGAAAACAAGGGAAAAATTACAGTGTTTCATTCTGTATTTCATAACTATAAATTATTAAAATTCTAAATATAATATTTTTCACTTATTTTGTCCAACAAAAAAAATAAGAAAATATGTTTAATAAAAATTCTGCATCAAAGGGATGAGGGCTATTTGTTACAATTCTATCATAAGTATTAAAAACACTTACTTTAGTTTCTGTTATTTTGTGGCCCTTTTCACCTTTTTGCCAGTCCCAAAGGGAAAGAGTATGCTCTACTGATTCATCTATGACACAGAGAAGTGCACCTCCATCCTAACATTAAAAGAGATGAGCACATAAATTTATATAAAGTTATTTAAATTATTCATCATTCAAATAGCTTTTCATAAGCATCATAAATACTCTTTAAAACATATTTTTGAGACAATATAAAGGTAAAAATATAAAGTTTAAAAACATACAGGCATAAAATAAAATATAATACACCATATATTTCTAAATATATGTCGAGAATTTTCAGAAAAGTCTCAAAAGCTAAAGTTGAGGGTTTGAATTATGGGGAAATTTCCAAATAAAAAGCTTCCAAATAAGGACCATTATATTTTATCGATACTAAAAGAAATATTGAAGCATTTAATGCATAAACTGAAGACAAATACAATCATCTCCAATTCATCATAAATCATTAATAATAAAAATGATTAACATTGATCGATAATTAAGCTAACTTACATGAAACATATAATTAAGATAACACTAGCAAATCTATGAAAATTGACTGTTTGGGATGCCTAACTTCATTAATTGATCAAATATTCTAACAGAGAAATCAGGACAGTGTTTGACTGATAATAAAAAATTAAACTAAATAGATCAATATCTGAATTTTCAAGAAAAATAAAGTTGCATTTTACTTTTCTTGAAAATTCAGATATTGATCTATTTAGTTTAATTTTTAACTTCATTTTATATCATAGAGAACTAATTGTAATTGAAAATCAATTACACAGGGGAACAAATAATATTTTTGTTTTATGAGATTTTGCAACAGATCTTAGATACTTTCAAATATGCAATCAGTTTTTCTCTCCAAGCTGTTATATAAATAAATACTAAAAGGGTTTTTCTTTGTTTGATCTTATTTTTGATCGATTGTAATAAAGTTTAAATCCTCTTTGGCTTTGTGAAACCCAATTTTGGTGATGCAGCATTCTCGTGCATTCTACTTAATTAAAAAAAAATGTACAGTATTCCCATCACAAATCACAAAATTAATTAAAAATTTACAAAATTCCCTTGAATTAAAAAAAATGTACAGTACTAATTTTGTTACTCTATGCGTGATATATAATTCAAATGTGTGGTATTAAAATGGAAATACAGAGAGTGTCGACACAAATTTTTAAAATTTAAACAGCGAAAATTCAAATTTATATGTTGTGCTTTGCTGTGGATTCATCTACTGACACTATAATTGTTCATCAATAAAATTATATATTATATTCTCTTGTAATTGACTTTATTTAAAATTTTTATGATTTTTAGATAATTAATTTTTAATATAATATTTTGTCAATTCTTACTTTCTCTGGTTTCCTCATTTATTTATTTATTTGATCTCAACATTCTATTCTCTATGTTGAATCTATTTACTAATATTATACGTCTACACTTAATTTTTATAAATACTAATCTTCTACCTTTATTGCTAAATTTAAATAATTACATACTAGTTTTAGCGTTATATATGTAATGCGTCTACCACTGCGAAAATACAATTCCAATCAATCTGTAGTGGTAGCTTTAAGCCCACCTAGATCAATGGGTACCAGCTTATCTGGAAAGCAAACGCAGTCTGTGCAGCACAGTGCTGAACACGTTGCCACAATCATGCCATTGGACACAAGATTGTGGAGCCCCCTGGCCCACAAAGAGCTGTTGCGGAATGCTTTACTTTACTGTCCTTAAAGAAGTACTCTATGAATTTCTTAGTAAATGTGGGATTGGTAGCTTCATAAAAAAACGTACCACATAAATTAGAAAAATATAAAAGTAATCAAGGTTTGAAGGTTTGCCTTTTTATTTTGCACATATTTATTAAAACAATGAATTTAACAGATTTCACAGTATTATTTTTTTAGAAAACAAAAAAATACAATTTATAACAGTAATTAGCTTTAGGTTTATAATTTTATCAGGTATTGCATATTGTGGAGTTACATAATAATCATAAAAAAAACTAATACATTTGTTGATAAGTTTAGTTTATAACTCACCGCATGAGAGAATGCAACACAGCAAACTGCACGCTCAAATTCACCAGCTCCAATAACATGCAAAGTATTTAAACTAACTGAGTCCCATATCCTTACATGAGGCTAAAATATGACAGAAAATATGCCTAAAATATTTATTTTTCACAAAATAATTTTATTAGCAATCAATTACTTACTTAACAGAATATTATAATTCATAACTATTCAAATGAAAATAAAGCATTAGGAGATGCTATTTTGCAAAAGTAACAAATTAAACTAAATAAATAATTTAATAGAGAAATTTATATATTATTTTAATATTTAAAAGAAGTTAGATTCCACTTCTAAACATGTAGGCCAATTTTAAATTACAATATTAAAACAGTGACAGGATTCAAAATGACAGGAATTTTCAGAACAGAAAAATCAATTTTCAATTAATATATATGAAAAATTCAATTTTTTAAAAAAAAGTTTCATTTAATTAATGGAATCCATTTTTATTTCTGTATAATGTCATATCTGTCTGTATCATATCCTTGATCTTAAATTTAATAGAATTTAAAAGTGCTACTCAAATCTTAAATAAAATTTTAAAATTAAATTATCAAATAAGGCACAGAATGAAAAATGTAAATAAAAATAAATTATCAAATGACGTATTGGAAAGTAATTAGATTATATAATATTAGAAACAAAATACACAATGTCTCATAAAGGTATTCTTTAAGGTCACGCTTTTTGTAAATAAAGATAATAAGTAATGAAGAGATTAATTTTGAAAAATAAATCTTCTCAAAGTCTTGTCCAGCTTTTTCAGAAAAAAATTAATGAAGGATAGGATGCAACCACTTTCAATTTAAAAAGTAATTACAGTATCAGAATTTTACAGAAGGTGTATTTATAGAAGACAAGAGTTTAGCTATAGATCCACTTTAACAAAATAATAGTAAACAATTATCTGTAAGCTTCATTATTTCATTAAAAAAAACTATGAAAGCTAGGTAAATAAACTAAAGACACGGAACAAGGTGATTAAAAAATATAAAAAAAGAGTATTATCTGATTAAAAACTTCATTTACTTCAAAAATACATAAGGAAAAAACAGTCAATAGTTTTCTTTTCTCCTTTTTATAAATTTTTTAAGTAAATGAAGTCTTTAAACAGTTAATATCTTATCGTTTTAGTTTCTTTGGATTATTTATTTAATAAAAAGGAGTATTTAATAATTAGAATTAAAATACATCAAGAATAATTTAATCATATTCAGAAAAACTTAAATGTAAAAAAAAAATTTTTGTTAATCATGCTACAAAATAAAATTTATTTCAGTCATATGTTTCTAAAGCAGATAACTAGCAATAGAAAAATATCAGAAACTTAAAACAAAAAAGCTTACTTAGTTTAATAACACAACAAACAAATTCAACAAAATTACTAAATTTATAAAACACTAATTATTAAATCAGTCTTTGATATTCAGTTTTGAGGCAAACTTTAGATGTTAGAACTAAATTAAAAATTAGAAAGTATGAAAAACTAGTAATTTAAGTAAAGAAGTTACAGAAAGATAACATTGAAAGATCAAAAATATTTTATAGGAAAAATTGTGGCTGCACATACATGCATTATGCAAAAAATGCATACAAAATAATTTTAGTAAATTTCTGATTTCCCTCATATTGGAATTGCTATAGTTTTAATTTAAAAAAAATAAGTATTGTACAAAAAAAATATCAGTGCGTCAGCAAGTCACTACAAAACTTTTATAGTACTTCAACTTATACGAATAAATGAAATTAGCAATGGAAAAAAACACTGTTAAAAATTTCAATAGATCAGTTCATTTGTTTCATTAAGCATTAAAGCAAAGAGCAGAGGTTCGTATGACGCTTATTTTTATCAATAAGAATACGAGTAAGTATTCATGAGAAAAAATTTTTTTGTTTATAAAACACTAAACAAAAAGCCTTTTACAAGCAGCAAAAATAATGTAATTAGAGGGGGGGGGGAAATTATGCACAAGGGTAAATAAGAGAATATTGAGACTGAGAAGTATTTTAGCAGTTGCTCAAAAATATTTAGCAGAGGTATAATAGAAATCCTAAATGCAAAGTTGAAAATAAAATATGTATAACTTACTATTTAGCATTTAATTTTAAATTGCCCCTAAAGCTATAATAACCAATTAAAAGATTTGCAGGATATTTATTAATCTGTTTTATTAAACAGACTGTTTTGAAGGGTATTAAAAATATTCCGTTATCATATTAAACAAAAAGTTTTTTTCACTGAGTTCTGACTTTTAAGAAGAAAAAAAAAAGAGATAGTAAATTTAAATTTATATTAGCCACTATTTAACATGCATCATAACACAATGAATAAACCATACACTTCAACACTGCATAATAAACTACTTATGTTTTAAAACTACAACATTATAGGGAGAAAAGTAAAATACAATGCAAATTTCAGCATGCTCAGAAGAAATAATTTGCAATTTAGAAACATGCTGAGAAACAATTTTTTTTTACCCGTCTTGATATTCTTGGCTGCAGGGTGAAGAGAAAGGAAAAAATTTACATTAAAAAATGTTAAAAACAATTAGAAAAATTATAGCATTAAAAATAATTATAAAAATACATTAAAATTTTTTAAAACAAAAATATCAAGTAAATTTGTAATTAACAATTTAGGATTGAAATAATTAGTTCAAAAATGAATAATATAAATAACAGAAATAGAAAAGTAAGACAATTGGGGGAAAAAACTCGAACAACAAAAAAGAAATTTCACTTAAATCGAGAAAGGATTTTTTAACAAAAGGATTTAAAGGACAGAAGGATTTTTTTAATCCTTTTGGTAAATATTAAAAGATGCAAATATTGTCGTTTCAGACATAACAATTTTGAATTTCAAAAAAAAATTTTTAGTTGCCTAATTTATTGTTGATACTTTTATTTAAAAGCTTATTATTACCTAAAATACATCAACATATTGCTGGACTTAAGGAAGTGGCTTAAACAAATAGAAGAAAACAAATCAAACAGTTAAAATTTTATAATTTTTTTTAAATGGTTTACTCTTTAATAAATTATATTTATAAAGTACAGTAATAACTTATAAAATATTTATTATATTATATTTATAAATTTGTTCAAATAAATAATGCCAGTATAAAAGCACTATCTTTTCCTGGCTAATTGATAAAAAGTAATGAAAAGTAAGATATGTAATAAGTTATTAATAAAGTATAAAAACAAAATTTTGAATTTGTAAAAATATTATTAGGATTTTATCATCAACTGCACTTCAGCATTAGCTGGTAGTAGAGTGCGGCTATTTATAACACATCAGAGAAATGTCCGCAATAAATAAAAAAATATTGTGTTTATTAAAACATTATAAACTCGAACAGCGGGTTACAATAACTTCTCGTTAAATTTAAACATATATTATGACAGATTTCCATGTGCCCACAGCATGAATAGAGAAATCTTTTAAATGACTAGAAAGGTTATTGAAACTGCAATAGAGAGAGTTAGTGAGTGAGTGTAGTACAGACGAATTACATACATTTAAAATAATTGTAGAAACCAAAAACAATGCATAGCAGCCAACATGGATAGGAAAAAAATCCAGTAGATTTTGTGAAATAATATAAATTTCATGATAATTGTTGCAGATTGTACTAAATATTTCACACATAGGGAATTTTAGGAATTTTCAGAGTCTTCGAAATAGAAAAAAATGCAATATTTTCCAATTATGATTGACATTAAACATACTCAAAATGCTATGTATTATGTTTACTCATAATTTCTAATATTAATAGGCATTTAATTCAAAGATAATTAAAAGATTTTTTTAATTAATTTAAAAAGAGAGTTCTGATTAAAAATGAACTGAACATTTTAGAACAAAAAAAGTTTTGAACATATTTCCATAAACAAGGTTCGCTTCATTATGTATTAGTAATACTTATTTAAAGAATCAAGCAAGCAATAATCTGTACGAAAATTCAATTTCAATAGGAATTTTTTTTAGGAAACTGACTCAATTTTAGGGAATCTCCTAAAATGTGAAAAAACCAGAAGAATTTTTATTCAACTGGCAAAATTCAGTAGTCTACTGGAAAATCCAGTAGTGTTGGCAGCTATGACAATGTCATTTGCACTTGAAATTCAGACACCTTCAAAGTGTAGTTATGAGTTTAGTTGTACCAGGCCTGCTACCATAGAAAAATTCAAAAATACCACAGCAGCCAAGACAACGCAAATCATTGATCGATCTTATCCACACACTCATAATGAGGTGATGTCATTTTTCGATCCGCATCAATTTTATATAAATAAAGGAACCTGTGAGCATGCAGTCCAGCTCAAAAAGCTTACAACTTGATAGCTCCAACACTAACTAACAAATTTTTACAACATAGTTTAATTAATGTTAGTATTATAGATATTGTGTAATAAAGTAGACACAGTAATTTTTTCAAGCCACCAGTTTCTGCATATATAGGACTTAATTTCTTATTCTTATGAAATTTCTAGATTAATGCAAGTAAAGAGCTGAGTGGATGAAGGTTCAAAGTGACATTTTAGTAAATTTGAATTATTTAGCTTTAAAGTTTTAATGGTAAAAAAAAGAAAATAAAGATTACACTTTGACAATATTCCTTTCCGATAGGCTTCCTATTGATGAAGTTTATAATTTCCTAGCCTTCATGCAACCAGTTCATGACATAACATTCAAACTCACTAAATTTTATTGTGCAACCACAAACGTAGGGTTATTGAAAGGTTACTACAATCAACCACTCAAGAAATACTCAAAATTGTCAATTAGAACTTAAATGCACAGAGATATGCAAAATTTAATGATATGAATGATTAAATAAACTAAAGCAGTATGAATGTCTGAAAAGAGACTTGCATGCCCTCAAAGTAACCAGACAAAAAGCTAAGGGCAGCTTGAAACCAAAGGAAATAGAATTCTGAAGAAAGCCAAGGCTCATAATGGGCTGTTACACCCACATCATTGAGGGAGGAAGAAATGCTGTATGGTTAAATAAGATCAAAATAATATCTACTGGGAAATCTCAGTTTGTTAAATTTCTTTTACCAAATAGAAAGTTTTTTTTCTTAAATACTTGATTATTCTTTTAGCTGTACAAATTATAACAAAGTATCTGAAAATTACTTTTTTGTCAAAATCATGAAACAATTCCATTTTTTGAAATTTAAAACAAAATGTAGAAATAAAATGCTTGAAGAACCTTAATGCTTCAGCGAGAGATGGACATCAATTAGAAAAAAAATTGTGCTATTAAAAGAACTCTGTATGAACTTGTCTTCTAAGATTTTAAATTAAAATGTATTTTCAGCTGAACAAATCATTACTAAATATATGAAAATTACTTTTTGTCAATATCATAAAAGGATCTCACTTTTTGAAATTTGGAACAAAATGTTAAAATAAAATGCCTGAAAAGCCTTAATGCGACGGCAACAGATGGACACCAATTGAAAAAGAATAGTGCTATTAAATAAACTCTGTATGAACTTGTCTCCCAAGATTTTCAATTATGTTTTGTATTAAAATGTATTTTTAAATGTAGTCTCTTAAATATTTCAAAACTAAAATTGGTGTTCCACTTTATAACAAATTTAATATTTCATTTTGTGATTGTTGTATGAACACTAATACATAATTATTTTCTTTAGAAAACAAAAATATTTTCTCTTGGTTCTAATAATTACAAATTTTTTTCAAAGACGAATTCAATTTCTTTTTCAGATTAAAAATTCCAACATTATATAAAATGCAATTACATTTACAACTTTTATTCCATAAAATACAATCAATCTTAGATGAAAATATGATTTTATTTAGAAAGATATTTAAAGCTTATTAGAAAACGCAACAGGTTGAAAATATTTTTGGCATTTAATTGTATAAGAAAATATAAAAAATAAATATACATTCCTTAAAATGTAAACTTACATCACACTAGGTGCTAACTCATATGATATATTTATTTTGTATATCATATAAATACATATTAAGAGGATTAAGTTAATATTAATTTTATAGATCAGAAAAGTGATGTAAAATTATAATTTTAAGGGAAAAAATTAACATTTTACATTAATTGTTACTATAAAAATGGAATAAGAATTTTAAAATGAAAAAAAATAAAAAAAATAGAGGATTAAAAATCAAATATACAAGTTTGAAATTTCAAAACACAATTATTTAAGCTTTCTGGACAAGCTACACCCTACAGTGTACTAACTATTTGAGCAATACGGTTAAATGTCAATTTTACTTCTAAATACTGAGTTATAACAATTTAATTCTGGAAAAAAAATATATACTATTTATTACCATGCATTCCAGTAAAGTTTTGATATTCAAAATGAACTATCAAATTTGTAAAGAAATTTTTGATTGCAATTGGCAATTAGAAATGTAATCAAAATGAGTAGCAAATATAATACTCACTCTTCTTTCTCTTTTATCAGTACTAGCAACTTGACCAGTGGCTATTAGCAATTTATTAGGATGGAGAGCAAGACTAAAAAAAAAGTACATCAATTAAATTGAGAAACAAAATGATGAAAAATGAAAATATTAGAAATAATATTGCTGACAAAAAAAGAAAAATCAAATTATTTTAAAAAGTATGATAATATAATTATTTACATTACTATGCAGTTTTAGTAATGAACCATTAGCATATTTTAATCAAATAATCAAATTTAATTTCTTTTATTTGACAGAGAAGCTCACGGAAAAAATATGGAAAATATAAGATGATCAATTGTAAAAAGGAAAAAATTTTTGTGTTTATCTGTAATGTAGTAATTATAAAAAACAAAACTTAGTCCAAATTAAAACAGCTAAGATGGATTAGAGCAGTTATGAACAAGAATTTCATTCTGGTAAAATGCATAAGTACTTTTAATTCATTGTAATAAAAAACACTTATCCATTTTTAAATACAGTCCCATTTTAGGCACAGTTCCAAAAATGCATCAAAAGCTCACATGAATTACTTTTTCAAAAAAAAATTTTAAGTATTTTTTTATTTTATCAATGGAAGTACATTACTTGTTTGTTATAAAAGTAATTTAATTTTACGTTAAAATCTGGTTTAAATATAGTTTTCCCTATGTCCAGAAAAAAGTACTAAATTTATATTTATTTTAGTAGAAATATAAATTTAAAAAAACCTGCTTTTTTTATTTTTAGACAACTTTAGATTTTGATAGTTTTTTGACATTCATTTTGTGTATCAAAATTTAATGAACTTTTTCCCTTTTTTTCAAAAAAGTATTTCAGGCAAAAATCATTTAATTTAGAATCAGGCAGAAATTTAACAAAATATTATTAAAAAACTGTGACTTCAACAAAACTGAGTTGAAAAAGTTTAATATTATATGATAACTAACCACTTAATATCATCTGTGTGACCCATATAATGCCTCTGAATTTGATCTTCAACATTATATAATACAACTACTGAGGCAATGAAGTATACCATTTCACCGGTAGGTAAAAAATAAAGATTTGATCTACAGTCTCTCCCCCTGTAGCCATATCTGAAGTAGAGTCAAGGTTCATTACACTTGAACAATAAATATTGCATTAAATAATTTCAGTGGTAAAAAAAAAACAAACATTTCATAAAACCAGAAACACCGATTTAATGATAAAAGGATACACCCATTCTAGTTTAAGCCTTTGTGATGGAGGACAATTTACTTTATTTAGTGAATAATCTTGTAAGTAATCAGTAGGTATATGAAGGGCAATAGGTCTCCCTCGTAAATACAGTTTGACTATTCCTTCATCTAAAATAAAATGAAAGCGTAAATGTATCACTAATTATAAATTTTTTTACAATAAAATGTAAGTTGACACTCAAGAATTTTAAAACTTAAACTTTAATATTAATATCAAAATGTGAATAAATTAAAATTTCTACTGGAAGATTTGTGGGTGTTAAAGTGTAAATATTGGTCAAAAAGAAATATTTTAATATTTTCTTTAATAAAAAAAAATGAAGATGATAAGCATGCAAATGTCATTAAATAAAAAATATTTCATCGAACATAGAAATTAAGAAAAATAACCTAATATGAAAGAAAAAAATTAAAATATGATTTCTGTAAAAATAATTACTATTTGTATCACATTTAAAAAAATTTCAGTAAATACATGCAACAGCTCAAAAGATAAGTATAACAAGCGCATTTAAGAATAACATTAAGATAAAATAACAAGCAAATTTCAATATAATTTTAACTTATGTAGATATTTTAAAACACAATTTTGGATGAGATAGCACCATTACATTTTGCTGTAAAAATGATAATTATTAAAGTTAACAACAAAGAAACTTTAACAAAGATTAAAGGATAATGTAAAATATTTTACAAAAGTTGAAACAAAAATAAAAATCCAAGAATTGTATTTTGTTGTGAGTAAAAAATATTCTTGATGAAAAATATAAAGAATAATAATTCAGCAAATAAAAGATATAATTTTATCTAGATGATCAAAATAGAACAGAACGTTTAAATTCCAATATAATATAATACAGGGCTCGAAAAACCGCCTGTCCTCGGCGGTCAAAAATGTTGTCAATTGTTGGACAAGCCGTCCTCGGGGACGGGTAAAATTTCTGAGTTTTTTCGAGCCCTGATATAATATATATTTAACAAATCAAAAGTAAAAAGTAACCATTACAGATTTTTTTTTAATAAAAATAAAATACCTTGCATCAAGACAGCATCTTTTGTGCTGAAAAGGAAAAAAAATACAGATCAAAACATATGAAATTTACAGTAAAAATCCTTTTAATATAAAAAGGGCATATTTTCAACATAATATGCATATTAATGATTTTTATAACTTTTTTAACATTTAACTAAAGACAGCTGCATCCTAAAATGAAATAATTATCAGTAAAAATGCAACAATCCCATCTACTTTATGAACTATATTTTCTCAGGCAGACATCTACTTCCTAAAAAAGGCAGAATGAGTTTACTTTATAAGGCAGCATAAGTTTACTCATTAATAAGAGTTTTGCATTAATAAGAGTTGAATTGAAAAAAATTTATGATAAGCTTTCTTTAACTTTAAACCACTTTCTTTTAAAAAAAGTAATGTAAATGCTTACAGTAATTCTGTAACTTTATATCACTATAAATTAATAATTTTCCTTTTTTCGAATATTATTAAGTGAAAGAAAATTCTAAAACATTCATATACTTATATTTTATATAGTAACTTATTGCTTTACCATTATGATACTCTTAATGAAATATATTACATAGATACATTACACTTACTCTAATATATTACTATTTAAGAAATATAGCTTTTGAGTAGAAACACTGGAATATAACAAATAGATATATTCATAAGAATTATGACGTTCTAATTGATTGTTATATTCATTCACAGAATATGAAATATAAAACAACATGAAAAGGGAAACTACAGACAGAAGTGCAATCTTAATAGAAAAAAAGCTACAATGTTCAAAAAATAAGTATTACCCTACACATATAATTAATCTATGCATTCAACTTCTATAATATAAGTCTTGCATATAAAAAAAAATACCTTACTTTTTTTTACACATATCTAACATGCAAATTATGAAACTAAAATGTTTGGCTAATAATTTTACAAATTCTAAACTAATTCATTAAGAAATAATACTATGTACACAAAATAAACACAGTGATAATATTGATCAATAAGAAAAAACTTTGAAAAATTTGTAAACTTTGTAATCATGTTTAGCTTTATTCTCAAAGCAATTTAATTTTTATAACCATGAAATCTTCAGAAAGAAAAATAATTTGTGATAAAATGTAATATATCATCAATTTCATAAAAGCTGTTACTTAATTTATAATATTAAATAGTAAAATATATTTTTTATAAATTAATATATTTTACTAGAAATGGAATTCATAGTAAAAAAATTTATAAAAGCATTTTTTACTTCCTAAGGGATATTTTTGAGGTTTAAGCACAGATTTTATTTTTTAATTTATTTCATATGGTTAAGATGGAATTATTAGCATTCCTTATCTGACTTGGCTTAGTTAAAATGTAGGAAAAAAGAAGCATTTTTTAAACCAATTTTCAATTAAGGCACATATGTAAGAACTTTGTAAAAAGATTGCAAACTTCAAGTATTTATTATAAATATTAAATAAATAAAACATATCTTCAATCTTTTAACAAAATTAGATAGCTTACTTGTTACCACAGATAAATAACAATAACAAATAAAAAATACAGTAAAAAATTGCACATGATTTTTACCATATAATGAATTAATAAAATATCATAATAAAAAAGTAGTTATAAGTTGTTGCTTTTTAACAAATTAAATCTCAATTTTAGTCAACAAATAACACCAGCAAGTGAGAAGCAATGAATAATTGTGAATATGTTAATTGCCTTGTTAATAGCAAAATCACATATAAGAAAACTAAGTTTCTCTTGTTGATAACTAACAAAAAACTACTAATGCATTCTGACTACTCTATTAAATTCTATAGTGTTAAATCTAAAACTTAGTAGAGAGAAATATAAGTGGGTTCCTCCACCATGTGAAATTAGTCCCAATATTTAAGATAGTTTACCCATGCCTAGCCTGATTTGGTGTGGAACTTCTCATATTCAAGTTGAAGAGAGATCCAGTAGTAACTCTCCTGGGAAGGAATATGTTTTTTATAGATTACACAAATATGTAAAAATAAATAATAATAAAAAATAAGATTTAAATGTAACAATAATCTGGTCATTGTTAAAAGAAACAATAGATTGATAAAAAATTTATATTCATATTTGTACATAAACCAGTTGGTAGAAAAATAAACTCATAATGTGAATAAGTACAATAAAAATAATTAGATTTGTGCAACATTTTATAGAATTTTGCCCTCTGAACTACATGCTCCCCAGCAGAAGTATTTGGTTTCATTTATGCTTTTCTTTTTCCTTTTCATTTGAAAATAACATATGTTGTTGTTGTTTCTAATGCCACTTGAAACACGGGCAAACCTGCTTGGTGAAACTGAAACTTGAGGCACAGTGTAAGTTTCTTATTTTTCAGTGGCGCCATCTATGGCCAAGAATTCGACTTCTTCCACACCATACCTCGCAACCGTTTATAGGACGGGCCCATTCATACATCCATTCATTCATCCACAGATCGTATTTTTGACCTGAATCAGAGAACGATCGATCTCCAATCCAGTACCCCCAGAGGTATTGACTTAAAATAACATATAGATATCAGCATAGAAATTAAATTTAGAAATTTGCCAATTTCTGTAATATTTTTAAAGATTCACAATTTGTTGTTTACTTGGATAATTTTGAAAGCATCTACTTAGAATTTCTTCCCCTTTGCAAATTAAAATAACTACAGTAACAGAAGTTATTTTCAGTCAGTATGTAAAAAAATTGAAAATGCATTAAATTTTTTTTTTTTTAGATCTACAATACATGATTTGATCAGTTGAAAATCTTTGCAAGCCCCATCCAGAATATTTTTAATAGTAAATTAAAGTGAATTTTTTAACATAAGTTATTTATAGTTTTATTCTAATTTATAATTAATTGTTAAAAACAGAGATTCTCTAAGTATCATCTGCCAACTCTGGAAGGTCCATACGCCATTACAAGGGATACACAAAACAATTTTAAAATGAACTATGAATGAAACATTGAACATTTGCATTCATTGAACACTTACACTCATGCCTAAGATATTTTTATAATATTAAACTCACTTTTTTGGTACTGTAACTTATGAAATCAAAATACAGAAATAAGCTTAAAATAAAAGACCCTATAATAAAACTTTTTAACATAAATCATGATAGTGCTGTTCTGGTTTTAAAAAAACTATTAAAACTATAAAAAAGTATTAATGAAAAGAAAATGAATGACAACTTTAAGAATCCCTGGTCTAAAATAGTGAATAACAAAAAAATATTGTATTGTGTCATATCTAAGAGAACTAAGTATAACAAATAAAAGTATTGAGAATCTAAATAGTGTAAGTATAATTTTCAACTCTTCACCATTAAGGTAAGTAACAAACAACATATAAGATTAACCATTTAACAATATGCCAAAATACTAAAAAAATAATAATAATAATAATATTAAATAAAAATAAAAAACAGTAATGTCTAGTAAAATTATAGAAAAATAATTTTGTACCCAACCTAAAAACGAAATATATATATATATAAAAATGTGTTTGAAGTAAATAATTTTAAATACCAGTGCACAGAAATACATGTCTTTAAAAAAACTAATAAAAACTTTATTACCTGATGTTATTATTGGAAGTTAAATATTCTTGACTTGATGACCATTTTTTCATTGAATTTAAATTTGACGTGGACATCGAAATGTGACGACTGGGAGATGGCGTATGTCTAGGAGAGGGTGAACTTCGACAATTGTTTGTTACAGATGGTGACGGTGATGGTATAGGTGATGCAGAACTGGAACTGTGACCACCCTCACTATGAAGGGAACCGGAAGAGGGATAGTGGGAAAGTCTCCGACCTGGATGTGCAGGTGTTTGAGGAGTGGTTGGAGTAACATGAGAGTTAATACAGTTCGTAGTGGGTGATGTGATTTGCCTTTGGTAGTTATTTGATGGCTTGTATGGATGTGAATTGTTTGAAAGTGGTTTGACTGGAGCAGGTACATTATTGCTAGTGATTATCACAGCTGGAAAAAAAAACATTTATTTTCATTAACTTTCCCTTAACTAAAATAAATGATAAGTAGGATTAGGCAATTTCAAATAAAATGGGCAGACCATGTTATCAAAATGAATGAAGAAAAAAAAACTTTTAAAACCAGACGAGCTGGCATACAAGAAATTAAATCAAAGATAGATTGAAGGGCTTACGTAGAGAAAGACCTTTAGTCTCAAAAAGTAAAAACTGAAAAATGTTGATGGGAGCCTGGAAATGGCTTCTCAAGAAGGCTAAGGCCCATCATTTACTGTGCAACCATTGTAGAAGAAGAATATAAATTGAATATCAAACTATGAGTGATAGTTTAAGAAATCACGTGATACTAGTTATTCCTAACTATTTTTGTACATCACATTTTTCCTTTTTTAAATTAACCTATATTAAAAACAGTAATTAGCCACTTGAAGTGGAAAGATGAGTCTTGTGTTAAATAAATAATCCTGAGAAACTCAAACAATAAGATATTATCTGAATAAAAACTTAATTTGATTCTAAAACAGTTTATATGTTTCAAGCGCTCAAAAACAGATGCCCCTTTTTAAGACTTGCCTGACGCGAATGAGGATAAACAAAAGTAATTTGAAATATAAAATAAAAACTTACCAACTAAAAATTGAAAAATGAAGGTGAGAAACAAAACTAGAAAAACCAAAGTAAAAAGAAAAACCACAATTGCCTATATGGGCAAAATGCATATTTGAATGAAATACATTTTACTGATTTGTCCCTTGTGGTCACAGAAGTTTTTCGTTTTTCATCTTTTTTCTCACTTGACTACTGCTGTTTTTCTAGTTCTGTTTCTCAATTTTATTTTTCCATTTTTGGTCAGCAAATTTTCATTTTTTATTTCAAATCACTTTTGTTTCTCCTCATTCATGTCTGGCAAATCTTAAAAACTAGTGTCTGCTTTTGAGGGCTTAAAATATGTTGACTGTTATTTCCTCTTTATATATTTTTGAAGCGAATGAAGTTTTTAATAAGGTAATGTGTCTTGTATGTTAAGATACTTTTGTTACAAAATCGGCAACAGCGTACCGATTAGAGCATAAGCAGGTAATCATCACACAAATAAAGAGAGATTCATGGTTCTTATTCAAGTTTAAAAAATAATTCATTTGATTGTAAACTATTGAATTTTTGATAATCTAATGTTTTAAATGACATTCAATACTGTTTAGAGTAAATGAAGTTTAATTGTATTGATATCAAGAGAGATTTAATTACTATTCATATAATTTAATATGATAAAAATACTTTAAAAAATATTTCCTCTACCTCTTCCTTCAAGTTGCGTGACACGCCTCAGCACGTCAGCTAACGTTCCACGGAGACATACAATTTCATCTGCTTGGTCTTGAACCTTTTTTTCTAAATCGGAAACTCTTTCTCTTAGAGCGTCATTGTCATGATTTAGTATATCCTCTGAAATATAAAATATACTTAATGAATAATATTTGCAAATAAGTTAATCAAATTATGATGCCAATAGAACTATTAAATAATACGTACTCTACTTCACAAATATACAACTTTTTTTAACACCATGAAAAACCTTTTATTATGAGGTAAATCAGAAAGAAATAGAAGTTATTTTGTATTGTTTAATGATAAAAAATTTTCAAATATTTACACCTTAATTCATATAAATACAATTTAGCACCAGTTAATAGCTAGTTAACTTTAACTGTCACTTAATACTCTCAAGCCTTAGTGGCATCCTCGTATGCAGTAAAACTTGTGTAAGTTGACCACTTGTGGTGCATTGTTTTAGTGGTCAACTTAGACAAGTGGGCAACTTATAGAGGGGTTAGATCATTGTTTACTTTTTTGCTTCCTATATCATGTTGCTATATATTTTAAAAAATTTTTTACTAGACTTAAAAATTTTATTTATCAAATAGCCAAATGAATATCTTAAGAAATGTGTTTAAAACTGAATGAACTTCAATTTGTTACATGTACATAATTTTAATATTTCACTAACTTTTTAAAAAAAAATTTTTTTTGTTAGTTATGCATGTGAAGTGTTTAATAAAAATAATTTCTTAAAATATCAGAACACGAAAACATTGAAAACTTTAACAAAACAAAATTATTTTAACACTTTAAAATTTATTCTGTTATTACTACACATACAAGCCTATTTGCTCACTATTGCAACTGGAAGAGCAACTTTTCAACTAACACACCTGTTTTCAATGAATGAATGAAAGAAATGGTCAAAAGCTGACTCCCTACAGTTTCCCCAGATGGTCAACTCACAAAAGGGTTTAGATTAGCTTTTTACACTATTTCACCAAACAAGTGAAATATTAACATACATTGCAAAATGACAGAAAATTTTCTGAATTTTTTTTTCTGGTCAACTTATGAGGGTTTTAGAATAGAATTTCATAATACTCCTAGACAAAATTGACTTATTTCAGTGGTCAACATACAAGATAGACAGGTGGTCAAGTTACAAAGGTTTTGCTTCTTTATATTATACAGGAAAAATTCCGTTCTTGATAATTGAGGTCAACTTATGCAGGTGTCCAACTTACAAGGGTGGTCAACTTGGCAGGTTTCACTGTATTTAAATTTCAGAGAACATTTTGAAAATCCCAATTGGGAAGTTTCACAATTTCGTCCCGAACGTAAAACATGAAATTAATATGCTTGTCAAAAAATATTTTGCAAACATGTTGATACCTGATATATATTGATACCAAATATAAAAACACACATTTATTTTATTGATATTCATAAAAAAATTGTATTTAATTATAATTTATAAATGTCTAGCTGATGTGAAATCGTAAGGTAACAAATGCTGCAAAAAGCGAAATTCAATTTCAAAGATTTCTCACCATCAGAGTATGGTTTTACAATAAAATTGAATTTTTTAAATTTATTTTGCGATTTTTTTTAAAATTACATAAAATTTTGCTTGGTCTTAGATTAAAGGTAAATGAAAGCTACTTGGAAATAAACTTGATCTTAAAATGATGGTAGGACATAATAAAACGGATAAATGCAAATTTTAACGAAATCAGCAGAAAATATTTTAGTAACAGGAAGCTAAAAATACCAATATTTTATGTACACTTTTAAAAAAATTTTTTAAGAAAGTACTATTGAAAGTTTTCTTTTTAACTGCCTTGCCTTTAGTTTAAAATTCGCCTAATCATAACAGGCTTTAAAAAAATGGTTCTCCTATTTCACTGAAAATTAACTGAATATAATTCTAATAAGGTATTCATTCATGCATTCATAACAGAGAGATTTTGCAAGGCCCTAGAGTTCTTAACTCTAGCATAAATATTATTTGAGTGTTTCAGCGCATGCGCGAAAATTTTACTGCAAATCGCAGTTTCGCTGAGGCGTAGGAAATAAGGTTAAAATTACGATTAGCATAAGACAAACTCTATGCAAAATATCTCAAATGTGAACGGTAATGATAAATAAAATAAAATAGAAAAAAAGTTTCAATAAAATTCAAACACCCTATTTATCTATTCATTTTCATTCCCCTTAAAGATATATTTAAAAAAATGCATGAAAAATGCATACTTTTACGTCGTCATCAATGTTTTATGTAAACTTCGCTCCTTTCATATCGGCTGAAAGGTACTACTACCTTTATACATCACACTACTAGCTACCATTTTTAATGTTCAGATCATTAAATTTGTTAAAAATGTTTGGAATCTGTTATCTTACATAAACAAGTTTTATATTGAATAAAAATATTTATATTTAATAAAAAAATTTTTTTTAATTGACGTCAAAATGGGATCGCTAAAACCAAAGGAAATACGCGCCTCCCTGCGTATCTATTGCCCTACACCCCTGCAATTGATTGCACTTTAAAACTACTCTAATTAGGATTAAAAGGATACTATATATTGATAAATGTTCATAAAATCTTTAATATCTAATTGATTTTAAATATCATAAAAAAATATGTATTGGAAGGTTAAAATATAAAAACTACATTATTTACAGTCTTAATATCCAAAAGAATCTAATAATTAAAAAAAAAAAAAAAAATGAATGGAATTGAATGAAAAAGCAACGGAGTTGCGTTACTTTCCAGCGTACCCCCTTCCACTATACTCCTGCAATTGATTTCATTTTAAAGCAACTCAAATTAAGATGATAAAAATTTACTTAAAGGATATTATATATTGATAAATATTCTTAAAATATTAAATTTTAAATATCAAAAAAAAATTATATATTGGAAGGTTAAAAAATAAAAACTGCATTATTTACAATTTTAATATCTGTAAGAACCTAATAATTAAAATCAAGGTGTTTCAAGGAACCTCAGAAGGTCACAAACACACACGCTTGGCTTTACTTGGCACATTTTCAAAACATAGTGGGTTCACACAAAAACAACACCCAAGATAAGTAGATTATCATAAATCACTAAAGATGAGATAACAATCTTTTCTTTTTTGTTTTAAAAAAAATAACTAAATAAAATAAGAAGTATAGGTTTCCATTTTAGGAAGTGCAGAGTAACATTTCAAATGACTCATAGTTTTTTTTTGGCTTTTCAAGTTCAATTATGAATGAAATACTTGTTCATTATATGAAATAAATAAAAAATAGCAAGAAATAATTAAACACTAAAAAAAAGTTGTTATATTAATATATTTTAATACTCTATTGTCAGAATATTGAGGAAACAGAATTTTTGACATTCAAATACAATTAGGAAACAAATTAAGAGAAGGGAAATCATGGAAACAAATTTGCTAGTTTCTAGTTTCAAAATATTTAAAATGTATTTTAAATAAATAAATGTTTATTCTTAAAATAGTGTATCTATAGAACGATGTTAACCCCAAATCTAGATCACTAAGCGTCCGTTAAATAATAAATTAATTCCCGGATTTTGCGAAGTAACATCTTCTAAAGAATCTAATGATTACAAACATAAAATGTTTTTGCCTATTTATATTTTAATGAAATTTTAAAATGATTTATCTTAAGGACAAAATTATTTGTTTTACATAAAGAAAATGTAAAAAAAAAAAAAAAAACACTATTTTAAGTCATAATATAGAATGGTTAGCTACAAGGTAACATTGATATAGACTTATCTAAGGTTCACAACCAAACGAACAAAAAATTTAAAAATGATCAATAAAGCCACAAATTAAACAAAAAAAAAAAAAAAAAAAAATCACGAAAAGAGACGTTACCTTTAGTTATGAATAATCAATTTGAGAAGGAGACTATAGGAGCATAAATAGTCCTATGGCACTGTGGAGCTGTGAATTTCATCAATTTCCTAATCATACTTTGTTTTATAGTTGTTCATAAATTTATAGCGGAATTCTTCGACAATATTGTAAACTTACAAATTGAAAAGTAAATAAAAAAATCTTTTTCAACAAATACTTAAAATTTAAAGTTTATTACTTTCAAATTTCGAACAAAAAAGTAAAGAAAATATAAAAACCTATTCTTCACAAAATCTGATGTCCCCAAATAAAAGTTTAGATGTAGATGTTTTAAATTTAAAAAGATATGGAATATATGTCAAAATAACTTTAGTTAAGAGCTTACAAAGAAAGTACTATCACTCGCAAATTAAGTTCAACCTTTTATATAGTAGTTAGTTTCTCCGTTGGTTAGTAAATAATGTACATATTTTTTTTTTCTATTTTGCTTTAGGAGATATAAAATTTTGAAATATAGGTTTTAACATAAAAAATTTATAAAGAATTGAGGAAATTGCGTAAAATGAGCAATTCTGAATGAATTCTGTTCTAAAAATAACTTTTAATACTCGGAGAAAGAAAAAAAAATTTTTTTTTCAAACGATTTCTTGTTAGAATTGAGTATAATATGAAAAAAACACAACAACTTCGATTTAGTAGGAACAACATATGACGCAATGCTAAACGAATGGAATTTAGTTGTTGTTTATTTAGTTATTGTTATTAGTAGTTGTTGTTATTTGTTTTAGTTGTTGTTGTTTATTTAGTTGTATTTAGTTTCAATAACTTTTCTTTATAATGCAATAAAATCTGGCGAGCAGCTATTTAAACGATCGAACACTTCGTTTGTTTATTTGTGGCTTGAAGTTAGGCTCGCAGAAAATGCCGTTCATGGGTTAAATTTAGTAGGAACAACACAACCTGTGACGTAGGCTATATTATACCCAATTCTAAATTAGCAAAATACTTGTCAAAAATACTTGCGAAATGCAGAGTTATACAGAAATTTATAACTCATAATCATAGAACCTTTACTCAATTTTTAATTTTGATCTTTTTTTAATTACCTTTTACAACCAACAATGCTCGTCGTTTACGGAACTTGAAGAGATATTTAAGATAAAGATAGTAGTTTTTCATAGTTTAGAACTTAAAAATTACTTCAAACCTAATAAATAAATTTTACAAATTACTTTATCTAAC